TAATAAATACAAAAAAATAACCGCACTACTTGCTTGTTAAAGAACCAGCCTTGAAAATGAAAAACAAACGTTTTTTTGCGCGTGCGTTAAGAGCCCACAAATACACCGCATATTAAATCAGCGCTCCTACAACAGTGTGCGAACGTTCATTTGTCCAGTACGTTATCTCTTACAGACGCGTGTTGGAAATCATCTTTGCTCGTTCGTTAAGATATGAAGTGAAGTTGAGAAAACGTCATCTGACTCCCAGTGCCCCTTCTACATCGGGGGGGTCAAACTCAATCGGACAGCGGGGCCGAAATTGCACCTCCCGCGGGTCACACAGTTGGGCCAATGAAAACGAAAAGCATAATGATACGGTATTCATTGACCGATTCAATTTCCAATTGTTTTTGTTTTTGCGGCAGGTCGTGCCAAATTCCCCCGCCGCCCCGTTTCAACGTCCGGTTTAAATTCAGGTTGTATTTCTGTCGAAGCAGTGAAAAAAGAGAAAATATGTTTTTATATATATAAAAAGTCAAAACAAATTAAAACACGTGACCGGATCCGGCCCACGGTCCGTGTGTTTGACACCCCGGCTCTCCCATGGTTACAGAGCCCAACAAAAATACAATTACTCGTGTAGAAAGGTGATTCTCGAGTGGTAGTGGAGAGGCGTGAGCTGAGACAGCGGTCTTGAGGAGTGAGACAGCGTTCGTTGGGGACAAAAAAGCCTGCAGGCATCGATGATGATGATGATGCTGGTGTTGATGATGATTACGATGATGATGCTGGTGTTGATGATGATTACGATGATGATGCTGGTGTTGATGATGATTACGATGATGATACTGCTGTTGATGATGATTACGATGATGATGCTGGTGTTGATGATGATAACGATGATGATGATACTGCTGTTGATGATGATTACGATGATGATACTGGTGTTGATGATGATTACCATGGTCCATTTGCATCGCACGTCAAAGGGGAGCACGTAGAGAAGTAACACGGAACTCATCAGGGCCGCTCAATGCTCTCCGTGTCAGTCCAAGGGATTTCTTATCACGCCCTGAATAAGATTATCAACGACGGTCATAATCAAGTCCTGAAAACAAGGCATTTACCACCTGGGTACTGACGGTTACACAAGGGCCGTGGTTTGTAATTGTTCACTCGACGTAATCACCTGCGGCCAATTTGCGGCACAACTTGTGGCGTGGGTCACGATGTTCAAGCCACGGGCACACAACGTTCCATTCCGACGGACGATGACGTGGGGCACGCGCGGCCTCTGATGTCCGTTGCTTCAAAGAACAAACAACGAGCACTCGTGTTGGTTAGTCACGGGAATGGATGGCGGGCCGTGGTGGGGATCGCACCGCGTGCACACGGGGGAGGTCAGCGGGGAGGTCAGCGGGGAGGTCAGAGGGGAGGTCAGGGGGAGGTCAGCAGGGAGGTGAGGGGGGAGGTCAGCAGGGAGGTCAGCAGGGAGGTTAGTGGGGAGGTCAGCGGGGAGGTCAGAGGGGGGGGTCAGGGGGAAGGTCAGCAGGGAGGTGAGGGGGGAGGTCAGCAGGGAGGTCAGCGGGGAGGTCAAGCAGGGAGGTCAGCAGGGAGGTCAGCAGGGAGGTCAGCGGGGAGGTCAGCGGGGAGGTCAGAGGGGGGGTCAGGGGGAAGGTCAGCAGGGAGGTGAGGGGGGAGGTCAGCAGGGAGGTCAGCGGGGAGGTCAGCAGGGAGGTCAGCGGGGAGGTCAGCGGGGAGGGGTCAGGGGGGAGGTCAGCGGGGAGGTCAGAGGGGAGGTCAGGGGGAGGTCAGCGCGCCCCAACTCGCGTCCAGGGGGCGTGACGAGCCGAACGGCGCCGTGAACTCGGCACACGAAACCATCGACTCCCCCTCCAACGACCCTCCACATCGCTATCGGTTTAGGGGGGGGGGTAGGGGATCGTAGTTTGAACGACCGTGGTACGTACAAAACCCGGCAACACCCCCACCCCCACCTTAGTGGCTTGCGCGTGTCCGCAAACAATTCCACGTACAAAACACTCGTCGGATTTGGGGAGGTGGCTTCAACGGTGAGCCACGCGACCAGACTTGCAAATGGAGGGGTCACCGGCTCGATCACATCATCTCCCCGGCACGGACGTTGCAACGACAACGGGAGGGGGGGAGGAGGGGGGGGAGTTGTTTAAATCCCCCCACCCCCCCCCCCCCGGGCTCTGTCCACCCAGCGGTGTAGTCGGGTTGAACGGCAGCGAGCCGATCAGCAAGGACGCGTGTTGGGGGGGGGGGGGGTGTGGGTTCCCACCGCCCCTTCCGAGACACATCCGATCGTCGTGGAAAGTGCGGGACAGCATCGGCTCTAGGAGCGTGCACCAGAGTGGTTCCCGACCTTTCTCAACCCGTGCACCTCTGTCGACCCTCGAACGAACAACAACAAAACAACAACAACGAATCCCGGACCGACCTGCAGCAAAACATACGGTGCTTTGTGAAAGAAGAAGTCTCCTCTGCACCCGGTTCCACAGACCACTAATTCACGGGCCTCGCGGCCCACATGTAAGGGAACCACCGCCCTAACAGGGTCCTTCCTTGGGCCCTTCCGCCAGCAGCCATGCGAGCGAGCAGCTGCAGGGTTGCGCCTTTACCTTTTGAAAAAAAAATACAAATCGAAACTAATCGATTCGTCCGTGCACGGTTCGACGAGCGTCTCGCGCACGCGATCGTCGATACCGATCGATGGATCGTCGCATGCCCCCGTTATAAACTCCGAAACAAAAGGAAACTGCCAAACGGCTTCCGACCCCGAAGCTAAATCGTTCACCGTCGTTTTTTTTCCTCTTCCAATCGGAAACAATCGCTAACATGCACGCAAAACAGCCCAAGGGCTTGCTTGCTGTTTTTTTTTAATTTTCAGTGAAACCGATTTAATTACACTCTTAGTGAATCTTTCACATCGAACGCACATTGCAAGCCTGCTACACCACACATGCACGGCAGTCGGCTTACTCTGGGCGGCGAAGAACCTCGCCAGACGGGCTGCGCCATTGTCCGAGCGCTACGCTCGCTGTCGGAAAAAAAAACGTTTTCACATCTCCCTTGCTCGGGGTGCGGATGGCGTCTCGGCCAATCACCGCCCGTCCAGCGTCGATGAACAATGGGCGATCGCTTTTTCAAATCTACGGCGGTCGTCCGACCGAAAACTGGGGAACATGGAATTTCCAACGCCCGCTCGGGGTCACGACCGGAGGTGCACGCGCCGCCCCAAAGCGTGTTTTGGGCAGCGGGACCCTTTAGACCAAGGGGTGGGGAACAAATCTTCTGCCGAGGGCCATTTGGATATTTATAGCATCATTCGCGGGACCGTAAAAAATGAGCCAACTTAAAAATGAGCCCGTTTATATTTGGTCAGAAGTTTAATGAACTCGCCCCCAATGCGATGGGCTGGAACTGCTTCTCTTTTGGCGAGGCGTGTGATGATGTTCTTCCGGGTTTGCTCTCCTAGATTTATTGAATCTCGAGTCCCGCCTGCGGTTGCCCTGGCAGGGCCAGAGACCAAATGATTTCGAGGGGCCTCATACGGCCCGCGGCCCAGACGTTCCCCACCCCCGCTGTAGACCGTTGACACGGGCGCTCGCTGCGACGACAGGTCTCGTTGTTTTCCCCGACGATTGCATAGGGAAAGAAAACGTTCCTGATCCCACTACCCCCCTACAAATAAAGCAAACTCCACATCCCAAACGCGCAATGGCCCTTGGGTAACATCACGAAACTTTCGCCCCCGGTATCCTTGGTCCAAATTCTATACGCTTCCCCTGTGGAGCGCCACGGTGGCGAGATGTTAACTGCCTCGTCCTGGTATACAGGAGGTCACGGGTTTCGATTCCCCCGTGGTCGTGTGGATTCATCTCCGGGTCCTCCGGTTTTTCCCTCCGCATTTAGAGTCAACATGCGTTTAACGAGTATTTTGGCTGCTTGCTATACATTTCCACACGATGAGCCATTTCGCTTAGCTATCGTTTGTGGCCAGGTCTCTTCTAAAAAAAAAACGAGCCGTATAACTCAGTGGGCCTTAACTGGTAAAATAAAAATAGGTTTTAGCTTCTCCAGACATGCAAATGAATGAGCCATTGCACCACGCACTATGCGCGTAGCCACAAACAAAGCCCGACTAACATACGCTACGTACAAAAACAACACTTCACAGTAATCATGTGTATATTTTTTACGTTGTCATTGGCAATGGGGGCTGGGCCCACGGCAACCCGGGGCCCACGTGATAACTTTTTTAAACTTTTATTTTAAGCAAGGGAGCATCCGGACGTCGGCGGCTCGCGTTGATCGGGGCTCCGATCAACGCGAGCGTCGCTAACCCCAGCGGGGTTGGTGGATCGCGCGCGGATGGGAGTCGCGGTTGCGCGTGCGCCAGTGGCACAAGACCGCCGCCAAGGGTATCGCACGGCAGGCAGGTTCGCGACACGCTGCCCTGCGCCGGGCTTCATCTCATCTCCCGTGCGCATTTTTTTGTTTTGTTTCCGGCCGCGTACAAAGGAGGCTCAACAGAAAGACAACCCAAGTAGCGATGGAGCGAAAGATCCCCCGAGCGGGGGAAAGGAGTCGTTGGGAAACAACCCGGGATGGAGCTCGAGTTGCCGTGAGCCGGTCAGCCTCTGCCGGCCAACGGGCGCCCATTGCTTTGCCCAAACCCCACTGACCAGCGTGGGGAGGTATGGTCAAATAACCCCTATGACCCGCACAGGCGTGGCGAGGACTCTCATCCAGCAGCGGATTGCGAGAAGGGTGATTTGAGGGTGGGGAGGAAGGGGTGCCGGGGCGGGTGGATGGTAACCGAGCTACAAAGCCAGTGACTCGCGTCCCCATCGGTGACCACGGCGAACAGCAGCGGTGCAACGAGGTCCGAGCTGCCACTGGGGATCCCACTCCGCCTCCTTCACCAACCTGCACTGGCCGGTGTGGTGAAGTATGGTCAAAACAAGCCGCCACCCCCCCCCACCCCCCCCCCGCCCCCGCCACCACCATTGACCAACATTGCACAAGAATATATCTTTTTTTAATCCAGCAGTTGAATTGACAAATGGCCGTATCTTATTATTATTGTGCGAATTGGAGGAATAAAAAAAGTTGAATTTTGGCACTGATTTTGGCACAGATGACAATCGGAGGTTTGCCGTTCACTCCAGCGGTATGGATCTCGTCAGACCTGGGTTAGTGCTGCTTGGGAATACCAGGTGTTACAGGCTTGGGCCCTGCGTTGGCCAGGAGATGCGAGCACAGCGATGGATTATTTAATCCAGCTGTGAGGAGTTATCAGTGTTTCCCCCCTCCCCCCCTTCATTACAACGGGGTTCTCTGGCTCCCTCCCACTAGCCAAACAAACGCCCATTATTGGGAATTGGCAAAAAAACCTGAAACAAAAGTTTTTAATTTAATTTAAATTTGCATTGCTATCACCAAATTTTGATTGTGAGAATTCAACTCATTTCTCCAGTGGCAAGTCAACAGCCGTCGTGCTATCAAGAGAGATCAGGTCCCTGTCGTGGGGAATGTGGAGTTTCCACTGTTGGCTCAGGGACGCCCAACACCGGGGGTTTGAAGAGGGGGACACCCCCCTCGGGACTGTTGACTTGACACGAGGGATTCCGGATTGTAGTTATTCATGTTTGCTGCTGCTGTCGGCTTTGTTTTAATTCTCCCTGCCAGTCGCGACTTGGGGCAGCCGACAAAGAGACGGCACAAAGACAGCCGCCCCAACGCTCGTCCGGGCAGGGAGGCACGCGTGCGTGCGTGCGTGCGCCGGTGCTCCGAACGAGCATTTCCGAAACTCTTGACTCGCGGGTTTGAAAATCTCAGAACGAAGGGTCAGGGGGCGCCGTCCGCTACAAGCGCGACATCTGCTCGGGCAGCGTGGCCCGGTCGTGCGGGTCGCTCACGAAGCCCCCGTTGCTGTACTCGCGCATGTTTGTGAAGTTCTGGCCGCTCACGGCAACCGGACCTCCACCCGTCTGCTTGAGCAGCAGAGCGGCCGCGGCGCCGCCGCCGCCGCCGCCGCCGCCGCCGCCGCCGCCGTCCTCATCGTTGCTGTTGTTGTTGCTGTTGCTGCCGCCGGGCGAGAGCGGCGACGGCGGCGGGAAGACGGAGGGCGAGGGCGGGTCGAGCACGCTGAGCTCGCGCCGCGCAGCGTGCGCCACCACGCCCGCGCCGATCGCGTCGCCCAGCACGTTCACCGCCGTGCGGAAACGGTCGCTGCACGGGGCGGGCAGATGGACGGGAGGGCGGGGATGGGAGGGCAGGGACGGGAGGGTAGGGACGGGAGGGCAGGGACGGGAGGGCAGGGACGGGAGGGCAGGGACGGGAGGGCAGGGATGGGAGGGTAGGGATGGGAGGGTAGGGATGGGAGGGCAGGGATGGGAGGGCAGGGACGGGAGGGCAGGGATGGGAGGGCAGGGATGGGAGGGCAGGGATGGGAGGGCAGGGATGGGAGGGTAGGGATGGGAGGGTAGGGATGGGAGGGCAGGGATGGGAGGGCAGGGACGGGAGGGCAGGGATGGGAGGGCAGGGACGGGAGGGTAGGGACGGGAGGGTAGGGATGGGAGGGCAGGGATGGGAGGGCAGGGACGGGAGGGCAGGGATGGGAGGGCAGGGACGGGAGGGCAGGGATGGGAGGGCAGGGATGGGAGGGCAGGGATGGGAGGGTAGGGACGGGAGGGCAGGGACGGGAGGGCAGGGACGGGAGGGCAGGGATGGGAGGGCAGGGACGGGAGGGTAGGGATGGGAGGGCAGGGACGGGAGGGCAGGGACAGGAGGGCAGGGACGGGAGAAAGGGAGAGGACAAACTTAAGGCCGTGACTGACTGACGATTGTCACCTGCAATAGTTGCGACACGAATTGCAACGGCTGAACACGCACCATCACTCCGATTCCTCTTTTCCACCGGCACAATCGAGCCAAACCAGCGTGGGGCTCTTCTGATACAGGTGATTTTCCACCGTCTAGTTTTACACCTAGGCTTTCAATACCAATGTTATGATTCATAACTAGTTTGGTTTAAATTGCGAAGGTATAATATCAATGATTATATTATCTGTAATCCTCAGTCTTGGTCATGCAGGGTGTAATCTCAAAGATGTTACTTGCATTTCAACATTCTTCCTTCTTCTTTTTTGCCAATAAGCTAAATCCATCGGCGTATTTGACCACGACGTGACAACTTGATTCGATTGCCTCCGTCGGCTGGTGGAGGGTTACGTACGTATCTGTGTTGAACTTTTCCGTACCATACATAGCCAACCGTGCTAACCGGAGGTGCGGTTATAGTTTTAAAAAGTGCTTTCCACTGGCTATTTCCCGAGCCAAGCCAAAACCAAAACATGAAACTATTTTTTTAATTTTGATATTTTTATTTGACCAGGTATGCCCACTGAGCTATGTAGCTCTTTTTCAGAGGAGACCTGGCTATCACCAATGATGGCGCAACTAAGTGGCTCATAACGTGGAAACTTCTCGCAGCCGAATACTCGAAATGCATTGTCGCTAAATGTGGAGGGAAAAACCGGAGGATCTGGAGAAAAATCCACGCAACCACGAGGAGCGAGACACGCGAGCTCCAAATATACAGCAGGCATCAGAGTCGGGATCAGACGCTTGACCTCCAGCATACCAGACGAGGCGGTTTGCATCTCGCCACCATGGCGCCTTACAGGGCATCTGACTCATTGGGCCACGCAGGGTTAGGAGCGGGGGTGAATCACTTGGATCCAGCTTGCATCGGTATTAAGTTATCCTCGCGAACGGAATTTCAGTGGGTTAAAGCCAGATGCCACCTCGTGGGCCACGCCGGGTTGGTGTCGGCACGACTCGGTTGTGAACTGTGGTCGAATAACCCCGTGACCTGTACGGGTTATCTCACATTGGATTAATGAGAGAGCCATACATGTAGATACATGTAGGAGGCATGTGATGAATAACTGATTAATACACTTAAATCAATTCCTATGGGAGCATAAGAACTGGTGATCAACTAACTCGTGCAAAGCACACATGCGGTTGTAACCATGTGGCGAATGGAACAAATGAGCCGGGACAAACACACGGTGTGGAAGAAACGGGAAGGATAATCCAAACGAGATTGTAAACGTTGAGACTGATAACGCAACGCAAAACAGGGCAAAACGAGACAGCTGGTCGAAAACTTGATGGGCAGTACAAACCGGACAGAGGAACCAAACAGAACTATTTTTTTTATTTTACCAGGTAAGGCCCATTGAGCTATACAGCTCTTTTTCAGAAGAGACCTGGCCACAATTGATTGCTCAACGAAGTGGCTTATCGCGTGGAAATTTGTAGCAGCCAAATACTCTAAACGCATGCTGATTATAAATGTGGGGGGGAAAATCGGAGGACCTGGAGAAAAATCGACGCGACCACGGGGAGAACACGCAAACTCCAAATATACAGCAGCAGGCGTCAGGGTTGGAGAGACAGTTAACATTCGCCAACGCGACAGGACGAAACTGATGCTACAAACAGGACCTCAAGAAGCAATTGAATCTTCACAATTGGTACGTGACATCTGAATGTGAATTGTCGAGGTGTGAGATGGGTGGGGGGGGCACGAGGGGGCTGGGGGGTCAGTAAATCAACACACGGCCGACGCACGCACACACGGAGCGAGTGAGAGGACCACGCGGAGAGACAACGGCAGTGGTGGTGGGTTGGGGGGTTAGCGTGGCGTGGCGTGCACTCACAGGAGCCAGTCGACGGCGATGATGAGGGTCACGTCCTCAGAAGGGAGCCCCACGGCCGTGAGCACCATCACCATGGTGACGAGGCCGGCCTGGGGCACTCCGGCCGCACCGATACTCGCAGCGGTGGCCGTCACGCTAAGGGGCACGCCGACGACAACATCGTCATCATCACCGACATCACCCACGACGTCACCACCGACGTCATCACCGACAGCACTCTGATATCACCAACATCGTCATCACCCACGACATCACCACCGACGTCATCACCGACATCACTCTGATATCACCAACATCGTCATCATCACCGACGTCATCACCGACATCACCGACATCACTCTGATATCACCAACATCACCAACATCACCGACATCACCGACATCACCGACGACATCACCACCGACGTCATCACCGACATCACTCTGATATTACCAACATCGACATCATCACCGACGTCATTACCGACATCACTCTGATATCACCAACATCACCAACATCACCGACATCACCGACATCACCGACGACGTCACCACGATGTCATCACCGACATCACCAATGACGTCACCACCGACATCATCACCGGCATCACTCTGATATCGCCAACATCACCGCCATCACTGGCATCAATGACATCACCAACATCGCATTCCTATTTTAAATGCCAAAAGTGAGTTCCTCTCACGTGTATCATGCAAAACGTTATTGTGGATTTCTCACTACATTTCAATTCACATATTTCTGCGTGTTTATGATTGCACAATCATCATTATTTATTCGTCATGATTCTGTAGTCTCCCTGCTTTTGATCTCTAGAGCTCCTGTGAACCCTCCCTTCTCGTGTAGCGTTCTCGCGACCGCCGTATCATCACCCGCTGTGGCTGATCTGAAGTGACTAACATCTGAAACCGTCCCAGGTCGTCCATGATGTAAGGGGCCACTAATAGCATGCGTGTGTGTCTCCGTGTGTCTGTGTGTCTGTGTGTGTGTCTGTGTGTGTGTTTGAATGTTCGAACGCTCACTGCGGAGGAGAGGATGCCACTCCTCTGTCAGGAGCTGGACCGGTACTGCCTGGATCTCTGTGGCATTCAGGAGGTCCGGTGGACCGGTTCTGGCTCCTGCCACCATGAGGGGTGGACTGTCCTCTACTCGGGGCAGCAGACTGCCAAACAACAGAGTGTGGCTCTTCTTGTGAACAAAAAAATGAAGGGGGCGTGGGAGCGTGGCGGTGAGGTGTGGGAAGCTGTAAGCCCCAGGCTACTTTGGGCTCGCCTTCCCATCAACCGGAGGTGAGGAGTGGTGGTCGTGGTTACTTATGCCCCCACCGAAGACGAACATCCGTGGAGGGATGCAGGAAAAGCCGATGAGTCAGATGCCTTCTATGACCTCCTGCCACAGGTGCTGGCTAAAGTGACCCCTCGGGATAGAGTCATCTTGTTGGGTGACTTCAATGCCCGAGTTGGTCATGATGCTGGCACCTGGTCTGGATTGGAGGGCATGGGCCAGATCAGCTCAATAACAATGGTAGGAGGCTGCTAGATTTTTGTGCAGCCCATGGGCTTGTAATTACCAACACGCTGTTCCGGCATCGGCGCATCCACACAACATCATGGATGCATGCCGGGTACAAGCAAGAACATCTGCTGGAGTACATAGTGACGGACCAGCGGATGCGAGCCCATGTCCTTGACACCAGGACCTACCGTGGAGCTGATCTGCCCTCTGACCATCGACTAGTCATCTGTAAGATGCGCCTGCCATTCTTCCACTCCGGTGGTGGGTGTACACCCAGGACCCCATTTCAAACTAAAGTGGCCTGGTATCAGTTATCTGATGAAAGTTGCAAGCAAGAATTTCATCATTGCTTGCGGCTGGGATTGGCGTCGTCCCCCACTCCTCCTGATGTCGAGGGTAAATGGGCGAGGTTTAGGACTGTGACTCAGGCAGCTGCAATGGCTGCTTTGGGTACGTGGTCCAGACCTCCCCAGAGACCCTGGCTGACAGAGGAGGTGTTCAGGATGGTTGAGAAAAAGCGACAGGCCCACTGTCATCGGCTACAGAATCCCACGTCAGAGAATGAGGCTTACCGCAGCCTTCGCTCGGAGGTTCGGAGAGCCGTGAGGCGCTGCAAGGATGGGTGATGGTCGCGGATTGCTGAGGAGATGGAGTCTGCCTCAGTGGCACACGATCACAAATCTCTATTTAACTCCATCAAAAAAGTAACCTGCAGCGCCACACCTATTACCATCATTAGGGGAAAAATACGGTGATCCAATCTCCGACCCCCAGGAACAGGTTTGCAGATTTGCTGAGCATTTCTGTGAGGTCCTGGGGGAGGGAAAATCCCTCAGCCAGGAAAACATCGTGGCACAAAGTGAGGATGACCCTGCTGAGGCTGCGGTGCCTCAAATATTGGAAGAAGTCACCCCCTGTGAGTGGTGCCATCTGGCTGAAGTGCCATCTGTTGAGGACGTACTGAAGGCGATCCGGAGTCTGAGACCAGGAAAGGCAGCGGGCAGAGATGATCTCCCAAGAGAAATGCTGAGGGAGGGTGGCGTTTGTGCACAGACCGCCCTATATGACATCATAAGAACAGTCTGGACCACTGGACAGGTTCCGCAAGATTGGAAGGATGCCCTGTGGTCCCCCTCTTTAAGAAGGGGGACCGCACAGACTGTAACAACTACAGGGGCATCTCACGCCTCAGTGTGCCGGGAAAGGTCCTGGCAAGGATAATTCAACATCACCTTGCCAGGCACGCTGAGGAGAGGCTTGCAGAGCCCCAATGCGGTTTCAGGAAAGGGCGGTCCTGCACAGATGCCATATTTTCTGTCCGTCTGCTACAGCAGAGGTATAGGGAATTCCAGCAAGACTTACATCTCTGCTTTATTGACTTGGTAAAGGCCTATGATACCATCAGTAGGCCTGGGCTACGGGTTGTTCTTCGTGCTTTTGGAGTACCTGACCCTCTGCTCACAATCATTAAGGACCTCCATGATGGTGAGCGGGCCCGGGTAAAACTACGTGGCCGGGAGTAGAACCATTTCCTGTACACCTTGGGGTGCGACAGGGATGTCCTCTGGCTCCCACATTATTTAACATCTATTTTGACCACATAGTTCGTGAAGACTTCAATAGCTGTACCGGGGGAATCTCCATATGGTAGAGATATAATGGGAGGCTGATCGATGCCCGGGTGCGGTCAAGGGATGGCTCCCTATTGCTCAACCACGTTATGTATGCCGATGATTTGGTAATAGCTGCTCATTCAGAGGATGAGTTGGAGACGCTGCTGCTGAGACTGGAGCGTGCCACTAAGAGATGGGGCCTTACCATCAGCCCCACCAAAACTAAGCACCTGCCTGGGTATTTTGTACCATCGGACACTCCACCCCCACAACTCCCAATTGGTGATGGGGCAGTTGTGGAGAGAGTGGAGAGTTTCCCATACCTGGGCAGTGTGCTATGACCGGCTCCAGTTTAACAGCAGAGCTCTCACTCCGAATCAGTCGAGCGGCAATATATTTTCATTGGATGAGTAACGCTGTGTGGAAGCTACCTGGTCTGTCGCTCCACACTAAGCTTCAGGTCTTCTCGGCCACGGTCATTCCCTCCCTTCTCTACACTTGCGAAACATGGACCCCCCTAATGGAACATCTTCGCCGGTTAGAAACATTTAGGCTGGCCTGCCTACGATCCATCCTGGGTTTAACCAGGCCGGAATGTGTGAGGAGCTCACAAATCCTTGAAAGATCTGGGCAAGGTCCCATCGGTGAGCTCCTCCGGCAGGAAAGGCTGCGTTGGCTGGGTCAGGTAGCCCGCATGCCCAGCCACCGGATGCCGAAACAGCTTTTGTTCGGCCGGATTGAGGGGGCTAAACGGGCGCGGCACAGGCTAGAGAAGAGATTGAGTGATGTGGTACAGAAGGACGTGGAGCTGAGTGGACTTGCCAATGACTGGTACCAGCGGTGTCAAGATCGGCCTCTGTGGAGGAGGCTCGTGAAGGACGCTACTGGGCAGTTGGAGGCAGTCGCCCTCCAACAACAACGGAGGGTGGATGAGCGACGCTCAGAACAACGAGCGGAGCGCCGGGTGGCTAAAGCACAGCAGGTTGGCACAGTAGGGGGCACAGGTGGTGCATCAGCCAGTCATCTCAGTCAGTCGACCCGTGGCACCTGGGTCTGCCCCGTGACCGCCTGCCCGCGGGCATTCGACACATCACGTGGCCTCAAGGTGCACATGGCCTGGCACAAGCGTCGTGGTGACGTCACCGCCACTTAGTGGCGAAATGGCGGTTGTTGTTGTCTGTGTGTGTCTGTGTGTCTGTGTGGGAAGCGATAGTGTTGCGGTTAGCACGCTGCGCTACGAACCCGGCGACCCAAGTTCGATTCAACCTAGGGCCTCCCCTAGGTTGACTCAGCCTCAAATGTGTACCCGGTGCTGTGTGGAGTAAACATCGCCACTAAGGGAGCCAAATGTGGCCGGGCGTGGTGCTGGCCACCCACCCCCTCGTGTGCCGTGCCGGCCTTTATAGGTGATCGCTAACAGCACTTTCCCCAACAGTATGTGCAGGCTATGTACGGGGGATCTTTGTCTTTGTGTGTGTGTGTGTGTGAGAGCCGCTAACAACGTCGCAAGCTGGCGCAGCAGGGAGTACATGTGGTCATCTCACTCAGTGAACCCCATGGCACCTGGCTCTGTCCCATGACCTGCCAGCGAGACACTTCACGTGGCCACAAGAGTGCACCTAGCCTGACAACAAGCGCCGCATGGTGATGTCACCGCCCGTTATTATCACGTGAGTTATCATTTGTGGCCAGGCCCCTTCTGGAAAAGAAGCTAATAGCTCAGTGGGTTTTGCCTGGTAAAATTAAATATGTATTTTTTCAAGTGATTTTCCTACCTTCCCTATACTTTGCACTCCTATTTTGTTTCTGTATTGTTTGTTATTCTAACCTTTTGACCCATCCTTGCTGGAGCCTCATAGCTCATCGGATTTCCTCCAGTATAAATGTTCTGATTTTCATAGCGGCGAACGGCGGTTGTCATCGCCGTTAATGTCGCTGTTGTTGTCGTCATTGTCGTCGTCGTCGTCGTCGTCGTCGTTGTTGTTGTTGCTGTTGTTGTTGTTGTTGCCGTGCGAGGGCCGTACCTGATGGTGACGATCTGCCCGAAGTTGAGCTCCATGTCGTTAAGCTGCGCGATGAAGATGGCCGCCACGGCCTCGTACAGCGCCGTGCCGTCCATGTTGATGGTGGCCCCGACGGGCAGCACGAAGCGGGTCACCCTCTTGTCCACCCCGTTGTTCTCCTCCAGGCACTTGAAGGTGACGGGCAGAGTCGCCGAGCTGTCGGGGGGGGGGGGGGGGGGGGGGGGGGGTCGGCGTGGAGGAGGGGGAGGGGAGCCGGCCGGGTTCGGCGAACAAAGAAGCGAAAAAGGCGTCGAGCGAAAACGATGTCCCCAAAGTGACAACGCGATAACGATAACGTCCGGCGAGATGCGATGTACTTACTGCTAAGCACACCGCGCAATGAGATGGCGGGATGAATTATTGAGGGTACACCGCCGCGTCAATGTATCATTCCACGTTACCATATCGCTGCACCGCACAAGAAAGTAGTTCGTGATCGACCGCTCAGGAACCGCGTTATAACGGGGGGGGGGGGGGCGCATTGTGTGTTATAACGGGGGGGGGGCGCATTGTGTGTTATAACGGGGGGCGCATTGTGTGTTATAACGGGGGGGCACATTGTGTGTTATAACGGGGGGGCACATTGTCTGTTATAACGGGGGGGCACATTGTGTGTTATAACGGGGGGCGCATTGTGTTATAACGGGGGGCACATTGTGTATTATAATGGGGGTACATTGTGTGTTATAACAGGGGGCACATTGTGTATTATAATGGGGGGCGCATTGTGTGTTATAACAGGGGGGGGCGCATTGTGTGTTATAACGGGGGGTACATTGTGTGTTATAACGGGGGCACATTGTGTGTTATAACGGGGGGCACATTGTGTGTTATAACGGGGGCGCATTGTGTGTTATAACGGGGGGCGCTTTGTGTGTTATAACGGGGGGCACATTGTGTGTTATAACGGGGGGGCCATTGTGTGTTATAACGGGGGGCGCATTGTGTGTTATAACGGGGGGGCGCATTGTGTGTTATAACGGGGGGCACATTGTGGGTTATAACAGGGGGGGTGTATTGTGTGTTATAACGGGGGGCACATTGTGTGTTATAACAGGGGGGGGCGTATTGTGTGTTATAACAGGGGGGGGCGCATTGTGTGTTATAACGGGGGGTACATTGTGTGTTATAACGGGGGCACATTGTGTGTTATAACGGGGGGCACATTGTGTGTTATAACGGGGGCGCATTGTGTGTTATAACGGGGGGCGCTTTGTGTGTTATAACGGGGGGCACATTGTGTGTTATAACGGGGGGCCCATTGTGTGTTATAACGGGGGGCGCATTGTGTGTTATAACGGGGGGGCGCATTGTGTGTTATAACGGGGGGCACATTGTGGGTTATAACAGGGGGGGTGTATTGTGTGTTATAACGGGGGGCACATTGTGTGTTATAACAGGGGGGGGCGTATTGTGTGTTATAACGGGGGGCGCATTGTGTGTTATAACGGGGGGCACATTGTGTGTTATAATGGGGGGGCGTATTGTGTGTTATAACGGGGGGCGCATTGTATGTTATAACAGGGGGCACATTGTATGTTATAATGGGGGGGCGTATTGTGTGTTATAACGGGGGGCGCATTGTGTGTTATAATGGGGGGCACATTGTGTGTTATAACGGGGGGCACATTGTGTGTTATAACGGGGGCGCTTTCCGTCCTGGAACAAAATGCGTCGTGCGAACACCGCGCGTTAAGGCAAGGACTTACCGTACTCGTAAATGTAATGCGCGCATTCTTTCACGACCAAGGTTACGATTCATCATTGATTTTCGGGTCAGATCGTCGCACAAGTAAAACTGTGTGTCCGACACAATTCTCCACCCGATACAGTCAATTAATAAAGTTGGCACGCGATGAACCCAATTTAGCTCCGCTTTAGAGCCATCGACACGCGCTTGTACGTATGTCGAACTTATTTCGCATCGTACGTAGCCAGCCGTGCTAATTGTGGTTGGTGGTTGCCCATCCAAGGACTATGCAGGCTCAACCCTGCTCAGATTGTGAATTTTAATGAGATTGCATTCTGCCTGATTTTGTCTTAGTCCAATACAAGACAGTTTGCATTTATATAGTGTCTAAATGTGACCGCATTGCAAGGTGCTGTACGGAAACAGTTGGCGTATTTAATTTGCCATTCTATTGTATTCTTCCGAACGGCAAATATTTTCAGGAGCTCGATGCCAATGTGTGGGTTTGCTGCTAGCCACGGCGAGAGGACTTCAGGACAGAGTTCATGTGGTGCCGCTGTTCCTCCTTCTCCTATGTTGAAGGAGTGCCGACTGCCGGGGTTTATAAAATATGGTCCGCAAACTATCACTGCCCATAGACTAACACTGCCCATAGACTAACAATGCCCATAGACTAACACTGCCCATAGACTAACACTGCCCATAGACTAACACTGCCCATAGACTAACACTGCCCATAGACTAACACTGCCCATAGACTAACACTGCCCATAGATTAACACTGCCTATAGACTAACACTGCCCATAGACTAACACTGCCCATAGACTAACACTGCCCATAGACTAACACTGCCCATAGACTAACACTGCCCATCGACTAAACATTGCCAATCGACTAAACATTGCTCATAGACTATTCTTGCGTATGGCAATATATTCAGGAGCTAAAGTGCCACGACGAAACGGCTTCAGAAAGAGTTTTGTGTATTTTTGCGATTGACCCCCCTCCTTTGTTGAAGCAGCGCAGTCCACAGTGGGTTTACTGTGTGGGCAGTAGCTTTGGTTGCACGGCCGTAGTCGCCCTCGCCTGCGGCTTGTGTCTTTACGACGGAGATGTGCCCATCGGCCTGTTGATGTTCTGGCGAGGTCAATGGATTTCACCTCCAGTGCCTTCGACGACGAGTAGGGGGAATGTGAAATCCAGGAGGTGCGATGGTGTGTGTTCGAATTGCCATGATCTGTGGTCACGATTCAATTTTAAAATCGAATAGTTTTCATCATCTTCGTTTGTTTCTGTCTCATCGGCCATTTGACAATCCACCGCTGGACGATGATCTCCCGCAGGATGTGAGTAATTGGGGCGGCGGGGGGGTGTGGGGGGGGTGTTTAGCCATACTTCACCACGTTGGTCAGTGCCGGTTGGTGACAGTGTGACCAGGACCGGTTGAGAAATCGGTCACTGGTGATGTTGGCCATGGCCCTGGATTCTCACTCAGGTCGCTGGCCTTCATCATATCGTGCAGTGCTAACGGCTTTGGCACGACTCCATCCCCATCATTCATAAACTGACCTCAAATGCATCCTCGCTCCGATCATCCAGTGATTATAATCACCACCAAATCAATAAACACAAATCGTCGTCATCATTTTGCAAAACGTCAGCGCGGGCTGGTGAAGGCGGTACAACCAAGGGCCTCGTTCGCCACTCACGTGAAGCCGTGGCCGGCAACTGAACTCAGGGGTGGTGGCTGGGTTCACAGCACGATTCACCCAAATCTTCACACCGTTTACATGAGCTATGAATACTGCAGGTTGCTCCCCAATAATTGTGTGGATAAGAATCAATTGTAACCGATACATAAACGGATCATTGGACGGCTAAATGTACCGTTAGCGTATCATTTTCAAAGAATGTAAATGAACAATTACGGTAATCATAATAAGTATGACAATTGATGTACTTGTTTAATTATGACATCATTACATTCCCTGTAAGGATCACACACGCACATCGGGGACAACAGTCTCTCTTGCTAAAGTAGCAGACTTGGGGCGTGAACAAAGAATGTATCATGCCAAATATGTTCACGCATTAAAAATTTACACAATAATAAAACATAACCAGATATGAGAAAATGAGTTACGTACTTGCATATACACGAACGCACGCACATACATCCACACACATGATATAGGAACAACAAACATATATATGCAATAATATATATTTCCCCGTAGAGCCTGTAATAGACTGTTGGGGCAAGTGCTGTTCGCGAGCACCTATTAAGGGCGGCACTCAGCACACGAGGGAATGTGTGGCCAGCACCACGCCCGGTGGCTTTTTCACTCCAGTGCTCATGTTTACTACACACCACGCCAGGTACTCATTCAAGGCTGAGACGACCGAGGGGAGGCCCGGGACCAGTTCAGACAATCACCACTGGTGTTAGTTTAACACGTAGGCTTGTGGCCGTGAGCGGGGATCGAACTCGAGTCGCCGGGTTTGTGACGCAGTGCGCTAAACACTACACTACCGTCCCCCTCTATGTCATGCAGTATGTGCAATCAAATATAAGCAAGTATACACACATACACATGCATATGTATGATTTCACATACACACGTACATGCTTATACAGACGTGTACACATACTGCAAAGACGAAGATCCTCCCGTGCAGCCTTAAGAGACTGTTGGGTCAAGTGCTGTTAGCGAGCACCTATGAAGGCCGGCACGACACACAAGGGGATGGGTGGCCAGCACAACGCTCGGCCACCTTTGTCTCCCCAGTGGCGATGTTTTTTATACACCGCACCAGGTACTCATTTGAGGCTGAGTCGACCTAAGGGAGGCCCAGGACCGGTTCAGATAATCGTCACGGATGTTGGCTGTAAGCGGGAATCGAGCTCGGGTTGGTACACACACACACACGTATTGAGTTATTATAACCAAAACTGATCACGGAGACACGTTGAATTTGACTATATGCTTGTATTTAATTGAAATTGATTTAACAAATAATTACTTTAGCGTGTCAGTTTATTTACAGTTTTACCCCTGATATGAGAATGTTACGTCGACATTTTTATAACAAAGTCGCGAACAAGAAACAAAACATTGATTAATATTGACGTAATTTTCCACCCGAATGAAATCGTTTTTAAATATTATCATTAACGGTAAGCTATTTTCAAATAAATGACTTCGTAAATATTTGTTTTTCTATCGTACATTTCTCTACTGCGCTATTAATTACTCGGTAATGAAATGAAGCGTTATTTTTTTACTATCACCCATTTGTTCACTTAACGAGGTTACATCACCCTTACCACAATAATCACGGTGATTTATTTACGCGCACGCGTATTTAAAAAAAAGCACCCATCCGCCCGCGAGCGTTATTACCGTCAGCAAACGCTATCGCCAAAATTACAAAAAAAACGCGGAGCCACGCCGCCCCGTTATCATCTTGCGACGAGAAGAACTGGAGAGATGAAAGGGTCGCGGACGAGAGCGTATTAATCGAGACGTTACTTATGGCGGGGGTGCGCGATCGTGGTGCGCTGAGCTTCCACCCCCCCCCCGCCTTCTCAACACACTCGCTCCGCTGCCTTCCCATCCCCCCCGTCGCCACCACCTCCACCACCAACCACCGCCCCCTTTTGTCTGTGGCCGAGGATCCCCGGGCAAGGCATCATCTCGGGGGGGGGGGCGCGCAAACGCTGAGCCCAGCGAAAGCAATGATAAAATAAATCTAAATCTGCGCGACGCTCGCATAAAGCACGCGGCTGTGCGCACGCGCATGTGAGGTCACTTAAGTCAAGGGTAGCGATCTCTCCTCTTCCTTCTCTCGTCTGCTCATTCACTTTCTCGCACGTTCCATGTCCACCCCCCCCCCCGCCCCTCTGGCTCACGCTCCCTTCCCATCTCCAGTTTTTGTAATTTATCCTGGAAGAAGACGCTCCTGGATTTGGTCAGAGGTGTTTGTGCACGCGTGCGTAGTGGGGAGCGTCAATGCAGCGGTTAGCGCTACGCTGCGTTACGAACTCGGCGTACCGGGTTCGATTCTCACTCACGGCCAACACCAGTGACGATTACCTGAACCGGTCCTGAACCTCCCCTGGGTCGACTCAGCATTAAATTAGAACCTAGTGCGGTGTGTAAACATCGCCACTAGGGAGACAAAGGCGGCCGGGCGTGGTGTTGGCCACCCACCCCCTCGTGTGCCGTGCCGGCCTTCATAGGTGCTCGCTAACAGCACTTGCCCCAACAGTCTGTTAAGGCTATACGGGGGATCTTTGTATGTTATTTCTCTGTGCCTCGGTAGACTATCGAATCAAAATGCTTATACCATTATGATCTTGGTCTCAAATAAAAAAAAAAATCTGAGTCATTATCCCAGGACCGAGCAAAGTGTCTCATCTCTAACTTCTCCATTCACTAAGAGGAACGATTTCCCTATTTAAACGATCGATCACGGTGCGAGCTATTTGGTGACGATGCCGTCGCTGCCTGCCGCGCCGGCAGCAGTGCCCAAGCACAGCTGATGAACACAAACCAAGAGCTGAGCACAAGTCAGCAGTGCCCGAGCACAGCTGACGAACACAAACCAAGAGCTGAGCACAAGTCAGCAGTGCCCGAGCACAGCTGGAGAACACAAACCAAGAGCTGAGCACAAGTCAGCAGTGCCCGAGCACAGCTGGAGAACACAAACCAAGAGCTGAGCACAAGTCAGCAGTGCCCAAGCACAGCTGGAGAACACAAACCAAGAGCTGAGCACAAGTCAGCAGTGCCCGAGCACAGCTGACGAACACAAACCAAGAATTGAGCACAAGTCAGCAGTGCCCGAGCACAGCTGACGAACACAAACCAAGAGCTGAGCACAAGTCAGCAGTGCCCGAGCACAGCTGGAGAACACAAACCAAGAGCTGAGCACAAGTCAGCAGTGCCCGAGCACAGCTGGAGAACACAAACCAAGAGCTGAGCACAAGTCAGCAGTGCCCAAGCACAGCTGGAGAACACAAACCAAGAGCTGAGCACAAGTCAGCAGTGCCCGAGCACAGCTGACGAACACAAACCAAGAATTGAGCACAAGTCAGCAGTGCCCGAGCACAGCTGACGAACACAAACCAAGAGCTGAGCACAAGTCAGCAGTGCCCGAACACAGCTGATGAACACAAACCAAGAGCTGAGCACAAGTCAGCAGTGCCCGAGCACAGCTAGAGAACACAAACCAAGAGCTGAGCACAAGTCAGCAGTGCCCGAGCACAGCTGGAGAACACAAACCAAGAACTGAGCACAAGTCAGCAGTGCCCGAACACAGCTGGAGAACACAAACCAAGAGCTGAGCACAAGTCAGCAGTGCCCGAGCACAGCTGACGAACACAAACCAAGAGCTGAGCACAAGTCAGCAGTGCCCGAACACAGCTGGAGAACACAAACCAAGAGCTGAGCACAAGTCAGCAGTGCCCGAGCACAGCTGACGAACACAAACCAAGAGCTGAGCACAAGTCAGCAGTGCCCGAGCACAGCTGAGGAACACAAACCAAGAGCTGAGCACAAGTCAGCAGTGCCCGAGCACAGCTGGAGAACACAAACCAAGAGCTGAGCACAAGTCAGCAGTGCCCGAGCACAGCTGGAGAACACAAACAAAGAGCTGAGCACAAGTCAGCAGTGCCCGAGCACAGCTGACGAACACAAACCAAGAGCTGAGCACGCGTTTGCTTCGACAGCGGCGCGTGGCCTTAAAAGAGGAGAGAGAAAAAAGAACGACGTGTACACGTCGCGTCATGTTGCGACGAACACGAGGGACGGGTTACCCTGCGGGGCGAACAAACAGCGGGCCCCCGTTTCCACGCTCAAGGATCACACCGTTGGCTCGTGCCCTGCCGCCCTCGCCGCTCCCCGCACGTGGCTGTTGGTGAGTGACTATTTGCCTCTGCGGGTGGGGCGCGTGGGGCCAATGTCACGGATCCACTTGCCCAAATTTCTCCCAATCACTCGCCTCTTCATTAGTCACACTCCACAACGCGTTGGTCAATAACGCCGAGTGCTCCCTTAAAATAAACAAAAAATCGCATGTGATAGGCGGCGTTTCGGGCAATGGCCCTTCTTCGTGGCACATTCGACCGTAAATTCGCTACAGAGATGTTGGTCGCAATTTACGAGAAATGAAAGTTTATATTTCACAGGCAAGAAATATTCCAAACTATTACAAGACACAGCTGCATTTACATCAACGTGTTTTGTGTGTGCCGTCATTGGCGACTAGGCTGGGACCATCAACTTAAATTTCTGACGAGCTCTTGAAACAGACGGAAACGCGAACATTGATATTTATTCATAATAAACAAGTTTTTTTGGGTTATATCTCGTAAATAAAAATGCGTCCTTAAACCCGCCACCGCTCGACACTGCCAATGAGTAAGGTTTGTCACGTAAACTACACGTGCCAATTAGTTACGACTTCAGCACACCGGTGTGTTGGAGAGTAAACCCACAACATTTACAATTTGATATTTACCAAGCTTAGCGACAAGTACCCTAAAACGGCTGCGCTAAATATAATCTCTGTCTCTCCCCCTCATCCTCTCGCCGTGTCTCCCCTCTCTCACCTTCTCCCAACACTCCTTTCTCTCTCCCTCACCCTTCTCCCACTCCTTCCCCTTTTGCTGGCTCTCTCTCTCTCGCCCTAGTCTGCATTTCAACAGCCGCCCACATAAATAACCATAATACGTGAATATAGTGCGGATTCAAGCGAGTGGCCACAGTTTCATTTAATTCTTCACGTGCTGACACGGCAAATGATTACACCCCGGGGAAGAAATATAGTAAGCTTATTCAGATAACGCTGAATAGAAAATGTTAAAAAAGAGCGAAAATATATCATACGTTTAGCCAACGTCTTGGTAAAAGAATATATATTATAAAGCTGGATACATTTGAGCGGCCCTGACCCTGTGATTTAAGGTTAGACATCTTTTAATGCGATGTCCTGTCTCATTCGGCTCTTTCCAGCCAATATTAATGGATGCTACAATGTAGTCACCCTCTCTCTTTAGCTCCTCTGCCTAAATACAGATGTTTGTTGTCTCAAAGGTTCCTCCGGATCTTGCTTTGATATTTCACTCGAAATCCTCCACCTGCCCCACTCACTCCACGGCATCAAGCAGAGTTTGTATTTCCCCTTCTCTTTCCCAACATCCGTCCTTCCAGAACATCCTTCATCAAGCGTCCACCTCTGTGTGATCAATCCCCATCCTGTTTACTTTTCTGGACTGTTCTGCAGACTCCTCTACCCTGCACACATTACCCACCCATCACAACCTCCCGTTCCTGACGTAGAGCTGGAATACGTCATGATCTAAGTATACAGCTACACCATCCTTGAGCGGCTGGATTACTCGACTGAACGGGTGACGCAAAAATACCGCAGGGTGGGTTGAAAAACAAAAAAAGTATCCCCTCTCTATCCCACGTTTGCCTTAGGATGGGAAGTGATGGGCAGGACGGTGCGATGTCATCGGCATCATCGGCATCATCGGCATCATCACGCTGGTTGTGGCTGACGGGGGGTTCCTTCCATCCGTCCTTCCTTCAGGAGGGAGGGCGGATTCCGGGGTGGCCACCATTTTTGAAATTAAACTATTTTTATTTTACCAGGTAAGGCCCACTGAGTTATATATCATTTTCTCAGAAGCGACCTGGCCACAAATGATAGCTCAACGAAGTGGCTTATCACGCGGAAAATGTATAGCAGTCAAATCCTCTAAACGCATGTTGAGTCTAAATGTGGAGGGGGAAAACCGGAGGACCTGGAGAAAAATCCACTCTACCACGGGGAGAGAGACACTCGGACTCTAAATATACAGCAGGGGTCAGGGTCGCGATCGAAACCACGACTTCCTGTATACCAGGCGAGTTAAGTGACATCTCGCCACCGTGTCGCCCAAGTAATCTATCACAACAATTGTAGTCACTTACAACTCTCAGTCCATTCATTCCCTTAATTGATATCATCGTCACGGGCAATATCCTGATGCCATCCCACCTCATTCCCTTCCACAGCTACTTCCCAGATGCTTACCCCCGTGAACTGATCTCGCACCGTATTCCCGTACCGGGCCGCCCCAATCTCCCGCGCCGATCGTTGCTGTGGGTGTACCTCACCTGGAGGAGATCATGAGCGCGGTGGTGATGGCGTGCGTCAGCCCGGCGATGTAGGAGAACGGGTTGCGGCGGACGACGATGAAATAGATGAGAGGCAGAACGACGAGGCTGTGAATCGCCAGGCTGCTTGCGCACAAAGGCAAAGATCCCCCAAATAGCCTCAATAGACGGTTGGGGAAAGTGCTTTTAACGGACGTACATTAAGGCCAGAACGGTGCACGATGGGGTGGGTGGCCAATACCGCACCCGGCCTCCCTTTGTCTTTCCAGCGGCGATGTGTACACACAACAAGGTGTTTTTTTAAGGTTGAGTCGACCTAGGAGAGGCCCACGACCTGCTCAGATAGTCGCCAGCGATATTGGCTTCGAGCGGGAATCGAACGCTGGTCACAGGGTTTGTAGAGCAGCGCTCTAACCACTACACTTCCGCCCCCCACTGCGAGCGGGCACACAAACACACAGACATGGTTGTGCATGAAATCGGGGATGCCCAGGATTGGTTCAGATAGTCGTTGATGGTGTTGGCCTTGAACGGGAATCGAATTCGGATCGCCAGGTTCATTGCGCAAGACATTATCATTGGCACTACCACTCCATTCCTACAATTAATAAAGATCGCCCATACAACCCTAACAGACTTTTGGGTCAAGTGCTGTTAGCGAGCACCTATGAAGGCCAGCAGACAACACGACGGGGGTGGGTGGCCAACACCATGCCCGGCTGCCTTTGTCTCCCTAGTGGTGATGTTTATACACTGCACCAGGTACTCATTTGAGGCTGAGTCGACACAGGGGAGGCCCAGGATCGGTTTAGATCATTGTTACCGGTGTTGGCCTTGAACGGGACTTGAACTCGGGTCGCCAGGTTCGCGTCTGCGTGTTAACTGCTACACTACTGTTCTCCCACCCACAACAAACAAAAGACAAAGATTCCCCATATACAGTGAGGGAAAAAAGTATTTAATCCCCTGCTGATTTTGTCCGTTTGCCCAGAGACAAATAAATGATCAGTCTATAATTTTAATGGTAGGTTTATTTGAACAGTGGGAGAGAATAACAACAACAAAATCGAGAAAAACGCATGTCAAAAATGTTATAAATTGATTTGCATTTTAATGAGGGAAATAAGTATTTGACCCCTCTGCAAAACATGACTTAGTCCTGGGTGGCAAAACCCCTTTTGGCAATCACAGAGGTCAGACGTTTCTTGTAGTTGGCCACCAGGTTTGCACACATCTCAGGAGGGATTTTGTCCCACTCCTCTGTGCAGATCTTCTCCAAGTCATTAAGGTTTCGAGGCTGACGTTTGGCAACTCGAACCTTCAGCTCCCTCCACAGATTTTCTATGGGATTAAGGTCTGGAGACTGGCTAGGCCACTTCAGGACCTTAATGTGCTTCTTCTTGAGCCACTCCTTTGTTGCCTTGGTCGTGTGTTTTGGGTCATTGTCATGCTGATATACCCATCCACGACCCATTTTCAATGCCCTGGCTGAGGGAAGGAGGTTCTCACCCAAAATTTGACGGTACATGGCCCCGTCCATCGTCCCTTTGATGCGGTGAAGTTGTCCTGTCCCCTTAGCAGAAAAACACCCCCAAAGCATAATGTTTCCACCTCCATGTTTGACGGTGGGGATGGTGTTCTTGGGGTCATAGGCAGCATTCCTCCTCCAAACACGGCGAGTTGAGTTGATGCCAAAGAGCTCCATTTTGGTCTCATCTGACCACAACACTATCACCCAGTTGTCCTCTGAATCATTAAGATGTTCATTGGCAAACTTCAGACGGGCATGTATATGTGCTTTCTTGAGCAGGGGGACCTTGCGGGTGCTGCAGGATTTCAGTCCTTCACGGCGTAGTGTGTTACCAATTGTTTTCTTGGTGACTATGGTCCCAGCTGCCTTGAGATCATTGACAAGATCCTCCCGTGTACTTCTGGGCTGATTCCTCACCGTTCTCATGATCATTGCAACTCCACGAGGTGAGATCTTGCATGGAGCCCCAGGCTGAGGGAGATTGACAGTTCTTTTGTGTTTCTTCCATTTGCGAAAAATCGCACCAACTGTTGTCACCTTCTCACCAAGCTGCTTGGCAATGGTCTTGTAGCCCATTCCAGCCTTGTGTAGGTCTACAATCTTGTCCCTGACATCCTTGGAGAGCTCTTTGGTCTTGGCCATGGTGGAGAGTTTGGAATCTAATTGATTGATTGCTTCTGTGGACAGGTGTCTTTTATACAGGTAACAAGCTGAGATTAGGAGCACTCCCTTTAAGAGTGCGCTCCTAATCTCAGCTCGTTACCTGTATAAAAGACACCTGGGAGCCAGAAATCTTTCTGATTGAGAGGGGGTCAAATACTTACTTCCCTCATTAAAATGCAAATCAATTTATAACATTTTTTACATGCGTTTTTCCGGATTGTTTTGTTGTTATTCTGTCTCTCACTGTTCAAATAAACCTACCATTAAAATTATAGACTGATCATTTCTTCGTCAGTGGGCAAACGTACAAAATCAGCAGGGGATCAAATACTTTTTTCCCTCACTGTAGCCTTGACAGACTGTCGGGGCAAGTGTTGCCAGCGAGCACCTATGAAGGCCGGCACGGCACATGGAGAGGTGGGTAGCCAGCACCACACGCAGGTTTACATCACGGTCAGGGATCGAACTCGGGGACTTTCTTGTTCCGTACCCGGACAGCACCGTCGCCATGTAGAGGCCAAGCTTCCGGAAGATTTCCCAGTCGTCCACTTCCATAATTTTTCCGGCAACCAGGAAGAAGATTCCGATGGGCATGTACCTGAGCAGCACAGCCAATCAACGCGAGAGGCACAAGTGGGAATAATTCGATAAGTGAGCGCGATTACGGTCGTGAAGGGTGGGTGGCATCAAATCTGCGTGTGTGGGGCAGGTGCCACGAGTGTGGCAGCACGCTTCAGGAACTTGAGGAGGTGTGGGTCACTACGTATCTCTTTATTTCGGCATGGCAGCTCTCTACCGAACGCCTAAATAAGCCACATTTTCTTAAACTAGAAATAACAGCCAGAAATTATGCCTCAATATGTTTATTACTAGTTACTATTACAAAAACTAAACAATATTATTTTTTTTCATTTTACCAGGTAAGACCCACTAAGCTATAGAGCTCTTTTTCCAAAGTGACCTGGCCACAAATGACAGCTCAACGAAGTGGCTTACCGTCACGTGGAAATTTAAAGCAGGCAAATACTCTCAATGCGTGACGTTGATTCCAAATGTGGCGAGAAAAAAGCGGAGAACCCGGAAAAAAAATCCACGTGACCACGAGGAGAGCGGGAACACGCAAACGTGTAGACTTGAAGCTTTCGTGACTGCAAGTATCCATACTCTTTGGTTCTATTCGGTAAAGTCACGTAGGTAAAAAATAACGTCAGAACGTGCGTGTTAGAATTGACACTTTTGTTATTTTATTTTTCACCTACGTGACTTTACCGAATAGAACCAAAGAGTACACAAACGTGTGTTGGGATGAGTTAGGAATTTGAACGGAGGTTGCCCGGATTCGCGCATCTGCCCTGCGTGGTTTGACGCTGGAAACGCTGGACGTGTTGTGAGCGGACAAGGCGGAATTAGACCAACGGGACAGAATGAGGCTGGCGGAACATATGAGACGGATCGTGACGATCGTCTCCAAGGAAATTGAGGTTGGCATGTAGCTGAACGTAGGAGCGCAACAACAGTGAAAGCGACAGGCAAGTGATAATTAACGATTCAATTGAAATCCACGTTTACGCTAATGCGTGCATAAAATTGATACTACTTTATGTGCAAATCAAAAGACAGCGGTTATCCTACGGATGCACTCATCCCCCACCGTGGGAATGTGGAATTTCCGCCACTGGCTCAGGGCTATAAGTCATCTCAGCAGGAAGGCACTCTGACTTTTTGTTGTTGATAAACCCCCAGGTGGAGGGGATGGGGTGGGGGTGGAAGGGGAGGGAGTGATCGGGTGAATGACTTCATGACCACGAACCGGACTTAACGTCAGAACGTGCGATCGCTTTAATATGTGCGGACAACGCTGTGACCACATAGCTTGATAGGTCACAGATTCACATGCCGGATAGAGATAACCTCGGCCCATCATCCCTCTTGGGCGAATAGAAAATAATTTGTGGGTTAATAGTGATTGTATTTTGAGGAGACTGGTATCTGTCAGTGGAATGTTAGAATCGACACTTTCCCCATACATATTCATAATCGTTTCAATGTCCACCTATCATGAGGACGCATGCCACCCTTGGCTTGTTCGCTCGCCCACCAATCCACCCGCCCACAAACCCGCCCATCCCCCCACTCGCTCGGTCCCTACCCACCCACCAACCTGCCCACCCACTCACCCGTCCACCAATCCGCCCGCCCACAAACCCGCCCATCCCCCTACCCACCCACCAACCTGCCCACCCACTCACCCGTCCACCAATCCGCCCCCCCCCCCCCGCTGTGTGCGCTCACCACATGATGATGGCGACGATTCGCATCGTCGCTTCATTGAGCGCGTCGAAGAAGGCGGCCAGGATCTCCCCGCTGGGACCCATGCGGCGAATCACGGAGCCGAACGCCACGCAGAACACGATGAGGCCCAGCACGTTGATGCCCGAGGAATATTCTCCCGTCAGACGGAACTCCTTGATCACCGTCACATTCTGGGCGAGGCGTGGGGGGAATCAGAATCATTATTTACCCTGGAGAAATCCGATGAGCTATGAAGCTCTTTTTTTTTGTTTGGACAGATATCCAGGTGATGTGTGGTGGTGGTGCAGGGCGGCAAGATGGAAGTCAAATCATTGTTCTTGTTGTTGCAATGAGTCGGTAAGGCCCCCCCCCCTCCGCACCCCCACAACCCCCCTTTTAGTTTGAGGTGGCCGGGTGACTCAGAGATCCGAGAAGCTTAGCAAGCATGGCCGAAGGCCCAGGTTCGAAACCAGGTATCAAATTGCCTGCTTAATCTCTGGTGGCTAATGAGGGTTTCTGACGCGCGTGATTGAAACGGGATTATCAAGGGCAGTGAGTTAACGGGTCTCAGTCGGGTCTCCAGAAACTTACACGGTAATAATAGTACTTGATTTGAAGCTTTCGTGACTGCAGGAATCCATACTCTTTGGTTCTTTCGGTAAAGTCACGTGGGCTCACACGCCCTTTGGATTGCACTCTCATGCTCACGTAATTTGGATTTACATTCTCATGATGCTAATCTCTCATTAACGCTGCTGCTGTGCGCATATGGAGCATGATACTCTTATGCGGCGACGGAAACTCATTCATGCTAATCTCCCTGCCTAATCCCTCTCTCCTTAATCTCCCCCATTAACACAACTGAGGTGCTTGCGTCCGTGGATGGAATTCCTTTCCAGCTCAGACTCCGCTTGCTTGCCCATCGCCACGTCTATAACCTCCTTGTTGTAGCTGCTCTCTCGCTGGTTCAGCTGTTCCACTGCTGGATTATGTTTTCCCGCCCGAGGACGACCGCTTGTTGTGTTGCGATCGAAACGCCGTGATATATTTTATTTTACACCTACGTGACTTTATCGAAAGGACCAAAGGGTAATAATAGTATTAATAAAATGCATTAATAAAGCATATTTCTGCAAGGTACTCAATGCGCAGTACACCACAAAATAAATGAATTAGTAGTTCGTTGGCCAAGGCGAGGAAAGAGCAAGGCGTATAGCCGCCGACTGAGAGAATGAATAGCAAGCGAGACTAAAGGCGTGTTCAGGCGAGGTTCAAACGCCACTCGGCCGACTTACATCGACCCACAGACTTACGTAGGGACCTAAGGACTTGTGCAGTCATTTCTCGATTAACTGGGTTAATTGAGGGGGGGGGGGGGGTGGTGGTGTCGGGGAAGGGGGCAGGATGACCCAGGTAGAGCCAATCCACGCATTATACAAAACACAGCACGTATACATTGAGGCTATGCAAATTATTATTTTTGTTCACGTACGCCGTTTGGGGGTGGCGGATGTAGGAAGGCCACCGTCGGTTATTTTCCTGATTGGCTACCGCCGAGTGTGATGCGAGCGGCAGGCGAGAGAGCGGACAGCAGGCTGCAGCGCGTGGCGCTAGGCCCTGCTCGCACTGCGAACCGCCACCCGAGTTCCATTTTCCACTCAGGGCCAACACCGGTGATAGCGATTAACTGAACCGGTCCTGGGCCTCCCCTAGGTCGACTCTGCCTCAAAAGAGTGGCTGGTGCGGTGTGTAAACATCGCCACTGGGGAGACAGAGGCGGCCGGGCGAGGTGCTGAACACCCACCCCCTCGTGTGCCGTGCCGGCCTTCATAGGTGCTGCTCGCTAACAGGACACGCACGTTTCACTCGCACGTGAACACGCTCGCACGTGAACACGCTCGCACGTGAACCCGCTCGCACGTGAACACACTCGCACGTGAACACACTCACACGTGAACACACTCGCACGTGAACCCGCTCGCACGTGAACCCACTCACACGTGAACCTACTCGCACGTGAACACGCTCGCATGTGAACCCACTCGCACGTGAACACACTCGCACGTGAACCTACTCGCACGTGAACCCACTCGCACGTGAACCTACTCGCACGTGAACACACTCGCGCGTGAACCCACACGTGAACCCGCTCGCACGTGAACCCGCTCGCACGTGAACACACTCGCACGTGAACCCGCTCGCACGTGAACCTACTCGCACGTGAACACGCTCGCACGTGAACCCGCTCGCACGTTAACTCTCTATTACGCCTTCCACGGCCATTGCGGTAAGTCAGACGCGGACGGCTGCTCCTCCTCGCCTGACTGTTATGAGGTTTTATCGTGGCACGGATAAAATCCGTTGGGCATTCAATGGCCATTTGCCAATGAAGGGGACCTGGTTTACACCGTAGACACCTGGGTACGGCACACAAAAAGAGCCCTGCACGAAACAATCCATAAACAACCGTGTTACACGGTCAGACTCCGAATGGCGAGGTCGTTGCATCAACATGGTGCCCACGAGCACAATAAATACAAGGCCAATAGAACGCAGCGCATGCAACGGTGATCAAATGCACGCACGCTTGCAAAAAACACGTGGGGTCCAAAATTTACAGTGGGGAGATGCTCCTCTGGATTTGCAGCCGCGAGAAATTTTGGGTTGAAATGCCACATTACTATGGAAGGGACCAATCTGTCCACGTAAAAAAAAACATCAGTTGTCCATTGCAATTGTGATCTTTGGAATCATTGAACTCATGAAAGTGGCCTAGAGTTTTATAGTAGTGATTATTATTTAAACCCCTTTGTCAATCCACTGCTGGATGAAGGCCTGACCGCAATGGGAGTTGGTTATCAGGGGCGGAGCCAGGATCTCAGGCCGGGGTGACATTCAACAAATGTCAATTTCAAGAATGATTAGAGAGTCAGGCTGTTGAACCAGACGCCATCGGTTGGCGGACACGCTCTGACAATGCAGCTGCACGGAGTCCGCCAGACCGAGTGTCGTACACTTATACAGCAGAATGTCGCCCCTGTCACCCCCCCTGGCTCCGTCCCTGGTTATAATGCGACCAGGACTGGTTAAGATATCAGTCACAACTGATGTTGGCCATGGCCCAAATTCAAACTCATGTTGCTGGCCTCTATAGTGCAGTGCAGTGCTAACCGCTGTGCCATAACTCCATTCCCATGATTAATAAAACATCCTCAAATTGATCTTCACTAGCTTCTTGGTTCTTTCGGTGAAGTCACGTAGAATGAGAATAAAATAATAAAATAATTATCATTCTTCTACGTGGTGACTTTACCAAAAGAACCAAGAAGATGAATCCTTGCAGTCACGAAAGCTTTAAATCGAGATCTTCACTACTATCATTCAATTATTCATCATCACCACCAATCAATGAACACAAATGTCATCATGATGTCATAATTGTCATCATGGTGATCAATAAATCATCACCATCGTCATCATCATCATCATAAATCGTGTTGGCTATGTCAGAGAGGCACCCGGGCCCAGGGCTTAAACCTCGGCTCTGTGAGATGCTCGATCAATGGTCCGAGAAAACCAATAGCCGCCGTGTGAGACACCCAGCGTACTTGGGTTATGTCAAAATCCATAAGCTCATTCCTCACATCACTGGGCCGCGTAGAGCAAAAAAAACCCTCCGATAATATAAAATAAACATCAGACACAGATCATTCACGCACCCATTGATTTTGCAGACGTAAAGCGAACGAGGCAAGGCGAGCGATTTTTCTACCTCACCAGTGGCCATGTGGACGCAAACGGATGCCAAGTCACGTCACCGCAGATAAGGCGCTTTGTCAAAACTCATTTATGCATCCTTCATCAATTCTGCGGCACGCGACACGGCGCTCCATTATCATTGATTAACATCGATATTATGCCCACGATGCATTCATCAAACGGCGAGCGTATAAAAAAAAAAGCAAATCATTTACGAATCGCGAAAATGTAACGCAAATCTCTGCGTATGGATAACCGCTGTTGAACTCCCACGAATCCGGAAACTCGATCTTAGAAAAAAGATGATCGACCTAACTGGGACCGCGTGTGCAGTAATTAGCTAAATAAGTTCAACATGCATGCGCATGTTGTAGCGGCACATTAGCTCAGCAAACTAAGAAGAAGAAGAAGACCTTCATCTGAATGGCGATGATGAGATGACTGTAAGAGTAGCCCTTGAAGCACGTGCCACCTGAGTAACAAGGGGAAGACCTAAAGCCAGACGGTGGTGGTGATGATGAGACTGTAGAAGCGGACCTTGGAGGGCAGGTGCAGCAACAGCTGCAGTATCGTAGTAGAAGCAAGCAGCTGATGGCGAGGTGCGGTCTCAGCAACGGCATTGGCCATGGTGACACATTGACCTTGACCGTGACCTTTGGCACCGGATTGCCATTAGCGCCGAGCGAGCAGCTGCCCAGCGAGCGTGGACCCGCCCCTACTGGACATCTGTGAGAAAGAGCTTCATAGCTCATCTGATTCCTCCAGTATACATATTCCGATTCTGGACCTGGTCTCGGTGACACAATGACCTTGACGGTGACCTTTGGCACCGGATTGCCATTAGCGCCGAACTGCGGTGCGCGGCTCGCGGGGGGTGGGGGAAGGGAGGTGGGTGGGGGGTGGGTAAGGGGGTGGGTGGGGGGGTGGGTGGGGGGATGGGGGGGTTCCCCACCTGGCCAAGTTGCTCGGCGAGCGTGGAGAGCGCCATGGAGAGGGTGGTGGTCACGGGCGACGCCGTCGAGTTGACGATCACGACCTCGGGGTCGATCTCCGAGCGCCGCGTCCTGTACTGAAAGGTCACGGCGCAAAGACAGAGACGAAGATCCTCGTACAGCCTGTTACAGACTGTTGGGGCAACAGCCTGTTACAGGCTGTTACAGACTGTTGGGGCAACAGCCTGTAACAGGCTGTTGGGGCAAGCGCTGTTAGCGAGCGGCACCTATGAAGGCCGGCACGGCACACGAGGGGGTGGGTGGGTGTCCGCCAGCACGCCTGACCGCCTTTGTCTCACCAGTGGCGATGTTTGTTCACACCACACCAGGTACTCAATTGAGGCTGAGCCGACTTAGGGGAGGCCCAGGAACGATTCAGATAATCCTCGCCGGTGTTGACCATGAGCGGGAATCGAAAACCGGATCGCCGGGTTCGTAGCGTAGCGCGCTAACCGCTGCACCACCGCTCCCCCAGGACAAGGTATACAAGCTGAAGGTGACGCGCTTGCCCGGTCCTACACGAGGGTGGACCGCTGGAGTGACATGGGGATGGGGTCGCCGGGGTCGCCGGGGTCGCCGGGGTCGCCAAGATCAACACCGCCCCCCCCCGCCATCCTCCGCCCCGCAGGAACGCGTAGAGTTGACCAACTTTCAATCTTTAAACACGCTGGCACTGCCCACGTACTCGCGTGGGACCCACGCCCATACGCAGTGCGTACGCGTAGAGATGTAACATCACAGTCGAGGTGGGTAATGATGGGGCTCAGGGGTAGTCTGCACCCTCCGATTGGCACAGTTGGTTACGTACGGCGTGAAAGAAGTTCAACACACATACAGGTCTAGAGGTAGATGATGGGTGGATCTGGTTGGGGCTGAGTGTGTTACGGTGGTTGAAATAAATAATATATAGGCTACAGCGTGGTTTAGATGTCTTGTGACCCCCATTTAATTCTCTAAAACCGTATTATTATTATTTTAAACGTTTGTTTATGTAACGTTTATTTAAACAGAAATTAATATGCAAGTGAAAACAATATTTGGTCCTTTCATACGCGTGAATATTTGCCACCGCCTATGAATGACCTCTCACCTTGTCGAGCAACCGTTTAAGTTTTTATTATTTTTCACGCGCTTGAGCAAAAGGAGCCATTTGACTATTTGCGTGTTTGCCGAACACATTGACCTCATGCTGAACACGAAGCGTGTGGCGAGATGTGATGATGATAGGGGGCGGGGGGGCGGGGGGGAGGCCTTACCTGCTGAAAACAGGCCTGCACCAAGTTCTCTGGAAACATATTCCTGCAAAACAACGGTGACATTTAGCGACTCCACCTCCTTTATTTAACCCATTTGAGAATCACCGACGGGGGGTGGGGGGGGGAGTGGGTGGTGGCGGTTTCCCGGCTTGAACCTCACGTCCGCCCTTGGCTAATACTGCCCGGTGCATTCACCGGAAGACGACAGTTACCCACGAAGTAATGTCCCACATAATAATATTCCCACCGGTGAACGATCAAACTTTTTTGCGGCGCCGTAAGAATGAACTTTCTTTTTGCGTAGCTTCCCCAAAATATTCCTCCAAAACGGGCCCCGCAAACGACCAGTCGCCACGACGGCGTAGAAATGGAGAAGCAAGTCACGAAAAAAAAGAACTAAAGCAGAGCCGCCAGCGAGCTCCTGACCGGTGGGCGACATTCAACGAAACAGCGTCTCCGGAGACGACACACTGGTGGACGGAAGAAGCCCTGTCGCTCGCCACCGGGGTGGAGAAACGAGTAGAGGATTTCAAAGGAGGACGAGCAAACGGACGATCCTCCAGATGGGGGCCCTGCCGTCGTCGCGGACACCGCCGCTGTGAACCAGCTCGCCGTGGCGACGCGATTCCTAGGGCCCCCCCCCGCCCCCCGCCCCCCCTCAACGCCGCATCACGACCGGGGGGGGAAGTTGCGCACGTGACCAATATGAGGATCGGATAATTCCGCGAGGTGGAGGTTTTTAACTTTTCTCCAAACACGTTTTGGCCGAGAACATAAAAAAAAGTGGAGGATTACTCTCTGGGACACATACGCACCGTCTGCTTCACGGAGGACTTCAACGATCCCGTGATGTTTCATTTTACAAGAGAGCAGGCCATCGCCAAATTTGAAAAAAAAATTACTTAATTGGGTAAAACCACATCGCAATATTGCCTTCCCTCCTATTGCCAGGCTACGCCTGTATGCGGAAACATAGCTCCTTTGTGAGATCTTCGTGCTATAAGAATAAAGTTGACGAATACCAAAACCGCCAATAATTACGATGCATTATACTGCAGTCCTGTACACCTCTATCGAGGAAGGCGTGGGTTTCTCATTGCGTGGTTGCGGTTATAATATTGGCTTTAGGTCGATTGGTCTCCCTGCTCAAACAAGTAATTGGGTCGTGCAAATCTCTGCTGGTGGCCATAGGCCAACGGTGGAAATTCCACATTCTCATAGCAGGGGAACAACAGTCTGTTCCCATGACAACGGGCTGTGTGCACTGTTCAAACGCTGCAACTGGACGATAAAAATGACACAACACGGCCAGGCTCCCGTGAATTATGCCTTAAGGACGTGATGACTGTGAGGAGCAAGAGAGTGGATAAGTGGAACATAATGAGGATAAAAGAGCATCATTCTGCTGCTGTGCCTAGCAATGCTGCAGCTACCACTGATAGTGGTAGCGGTGATGATGTTGATGATGCGAATAATGGTCATGTTGATGGTTTTGTGGCGATGGACAGATGATGACAACAACAATTTTAGATGCGGTGGTGAGATGTTAACTAGCTTGCCTGGTATACAGGAGGTCGTGGGTTTGATCCCAACGCGATGCCTGTTGTATACTTGGAACGTGCGTGGTAATGTGGATTTTTCTCTGGGTCCTGTGGTTTTTCACTACATATTTAAAATCAATATTCGTTTAGAGTACGTTTCTGCCTTTAACAATAATAGTTTACAGTTCACAGACTCATGTTAATCGGGATGTATGGACGTATCAATGATGACGATGATGACAAACGAATCATGGTGATCACAAGGCGTGTTGATGATGACAGTGACGATGGTGATGCTGCTGCCGAGTATGACACAATCAACGACGACGACGACGACGACGACGATGACGACGATGACGACAACTCGATTGCCGACCTGACGAGGTCGAGCAGGGTGTCCACCGTGGTGGCGTTGGGGGTCGACCCGGTGCGGTCGATCTCGTCGGTGCTCTGCGACACGCCGGGCTTGATGAGCAGCACCAGTGCGATCCCTGTCGGGCAACCGAGCTTTACACAAAAGGGGCGGTGCCCCTCGTCGCAGGGGACGGTGCGATGCCGCTACGACTCCCGGTACCGGCGCCACCATCCCAATCCGATGCTGGGTGGAAACCTCCCCAAGCCGTATCGGTCAGCTCAGGTCACCGGGGAACACAGCGCGGTGCGATAGCCACTGTGCCACCGCTCCCCCATGGTGATAAACTCTCCCTGTTGAACATTAAATTACCTCTTTGCCCTTCTTCCATCTCCATCCCAATCATCGTCATCATCATCAGCCACGATTCACTGCCAAATGAAGGCATCGCCATCGGTCGCTGGGCTATCAGTGCGGCGCGCTAGCCGCAGTGCATCCGCTCAGCCCGCCGGATCAATGCCCCGAGACAAACAATAGCCCCTGTGAGAGACATGCAGCCTGCCCCATCATTAACATGACAGATTGTGCAGTATTTATGTAAATTAGTCATCGCTCCCTCCTCTCAACCCGTGAAAAAAGCACATACTTCACTCACATTATGCAATGCGTAACATTGTATCTAGAGCAGCGGAGTGGCAGTGGTTAGTGCACTGCGCTAAGAGCCCCGCAACCCGAGTTCGATTTCCGCTCACAGCTAACATCATTGGCTGGTGACATCTAAACCGGTCGGGAGCCTCTCATAGGTCGACTCAGTCTTAAATGAGTACCCGGTGCAATGTGTATCGGCACCGGAGAGACAAGGGCGGCCAGGGGTGGTTCTGGAGTTGTACACCCCTAGCTTCCACTGCAATTCAGCGGCCTAAAATATGGCTCTAGGGTTTGGTGTTACATGTTATTTATGTAGTTTATTGTTAAAAAAATTCGGTCCCTATGATCACTGTTACATTGCATTTATGGCTTTTATTTTGGTGATTTCGAAAACGTTTTTTTGGTTTTGGCCATGTTTTTGTTTATTGTAGTACGGAGTTGGACTGATGGCCTTAATCTTAGTTGTCTTGTGGTTGTTGTTGTTTGACTTGCATCCCACTGGGATTTTTGCACACAGAGTTGGTGTACGGAGCTATTTAAGGAATATTTTGATGTTTTTTTTACTGGATTTTCTGTTTGCACAGTCACATAGTCACTTTAAGATGTTTTTCTTGTTCGTGTTTTTGTTTTTTGTTTTGTTGCGGTTGCACCCGATTCAAGAGCCGAATGGCTCACAGGGCTATACCAAAATAAATGGAACTAAATGGAACTAAATGGCCACCCCCCACCTCCTCGTGTGCCGTGTCGGCCTTCATAAGTGAACAGCGCTTGCCTCGACAGTCTGTCGTCCTATGTGTGGGATCTTTGTGAGCATGTGCGAGGGGAGTGGCTACAATCGCAGCGACTCGAGTTCAACTCCCGGTCACGGCCAACACCTATGACGATTATTTGAACTAGTCCCGGGCATCCCCTAGGTCGATTCAGCCTCAAATGAGTGCCTGGTGCGGTGTTTAAAGATTGCCATTGGGAAGACAAAAGTGGCTGCGCATGGTGTGAGCCACCCACCCCCTTGTGTGCCGTGCCGTGTCTTCATTGGTGCTCGCTAACAGCACTTGCTTTTTTTGTGTATAGACACTGGTGAGACAAAGGCGGCCGGGCGTGGTGCAGTCACACCATCTCCTTGTGTGACGTGTGCCACGTACCAGCCTTAATAGGTGCTCGCTAACAGCACTCACGCCAACAACCTGTTAAGGACTATACGAGGTTTCTTAGTCTCTGTCTGCGTATTTGAGTATGGCTGTGTATGTGTCTGTCTCTATCAGTGTATGTCCGTGCGTGTGAATTTCTATGTGCATATGTGTGTATCAGTATGTCTGTGTGTGTGTGTGTTACTGGATATGCATACCCAATAGGACAGCCAGAACGGTGGTACTCAGGTAGTAAGCCACCGCGAGCCCACCAATCTTCCCTGAAACATTGGAATCCAGAGACGCCAATCCTGCGACAGATAAAGAGAGAGAGGAGGACACAACAGTTACCTATTAACCCTTTCCCGTTCCGCTGACGTACGTCATCAAAACAAAACAGGACGAAAAACTAAAATAAGATAACTGTATTGGTACCGAGGCTCCCACAGGGCCATGCGGGAGGGTGTGTGGCACAATCTGGCGCCAGCCATCGTAGAGTGCGGTCGTGTAGCTATGGTTATCTGCGGTGAGTACAATGTCTTTAAAAACAACGGCGCTCCGCCTCTCTAAATTAAATGAACGCTGAGCCGCCTGCATGTTCCTAAATTTAGCGGTGAACGGGAGACCCACCCCGCAACTTACAGACGTCTCTTAAAGCGAGATGTCTGTAAGGGTTAATTTAGTATTGTCAATGTTGTTATTATTTAACGTACGTCTCTCCATCCACCAGGAACTCAATTATGCCAATCACCACCGCTTGCAGTCACGCAATCCCTTTTGGACCAATTCGCTTAAACCTTCAACAATGCAAGTTCAATCACGATGAAGCTTGGAGAGCTGGAGATAAATAGAACTCACGAAACAAACACCTTGTGAAAGACCCATTGCAGAAGACCTTCCAAAAAGCTCATGGTCCACCCTAAACGCCATCCAAACAAACCACGGCAGTAGATGACGGATACCTGATGCACATGGAAAATTTAAAACTCTCCAGCAGTGCGCGACTGTGGTCATCCAGAACAGACCATACAAAACATATTGACGCAATGCCCCGATCCACAAATACCAAGGAGACATCACGGCGATACGCTCCGCTTACTGCTGACGCGGATGTATGTGGCTTGACCACCTGAATGTGAAATTGTAGTTGTTGCTCTGTATCTACATCGGCAGCCGTAGGAAAGAGGAAGACCACCGCTTGAAATCGCGCAAAGCCCTTTTGAACCCAGGCGTGTAACCTTTGACAACGCGACTTCAACCCTGGCGATGATGAGGCTTGGTAGGCCGAATGGAGTTCACAAGAGGTCACAGACAAAACACCGGGACCCCACGCAGGAGACCCGCGGCTCGACTGTCCGCGGAGCTTCTTGGCCATAACCCCTGGCACCGCATCCGCACAGGAACCACGGCAGCAGCGGTTACGGATACTTGGAAGCGCAATCGGGAAATTAAAACCTGTCAGGCGGCGTGCGACAGCTGTGGCCGCCACCCAGAACAGAACCGTGGAACGTACGACGACTCAACGCCTCGATTGACAAACACGAGGGAGGAGGCATCACCACAACAGCGGCGATGCACTCCCGCTACTCCTGGCGCAATTATCCGTCTCAACCCACTCGAAGTGTCGAATTACAGTCGTCGCTCGACACGAACATGAGCCGTACAAAGAAGGATATTTAACGATATTAATGTTCGCAAGGAGGAGGGGAGCGGCGCAGTGATTTACGCAGCGTGCTATGAACCCGGCGATCCGAAGCTGCTTCCCAACCACGGTGGGGAGGGACGTCAGTGGCGAGTGACGCATTTGAGCCGGTCCTGGGAGCAACCTGCGCTGACCGGCGTGCTGAAGTACGGTCAAGCAACGGCCTGAAGACCGACACGGGCATGGGGAGGGGGCTTCATCCGGCAGTAGACCTATAAAAGACTGAAATTAATTATTAATACAAAAATGTAAAACCACAATTTGGCTGTGAGACGGAGAAACTCGTTCACCTGCCTGCATTGCTGGATAGATTGTTGTCCATTTGTTTTCAATTAGAGGCCCTCAAAGGGCGCAGTACGGACAGAGGCCTATACCACCACGGTGGCCAGATTCTAAACATTATGCTCAAATGCAATGGTTTCTCTCTGCAAAACATTATATTATTGTTGCTGTTAATGGGATATTGGAAAGGTCTAATTGCTATGCCGCGGTAGTGTTTAGGAAGCGACTGGCAATCAAGAGGTTGCCAGTTGAATCAGAATCAGAATATTTATATATACGATGGAGGAATCCGATGAACTATAAAGCTCTTTTTCACAGACGTCCAATCTCCCGTCCCCACCCTGCCTCTGTCCACCCAGCGATGTTAATCGGCTCACCACAGTCTAAACTAAACAATAAACTATTTTTAGTTTACCAGGTAAGGCCTATGTAGCTCTTTTTCAGAAGCAACTTGGCCACAAATGATAGCCCAATGAAGTGGCTGATCACGTGGAAATGTGTAGCCGCCAAAACCTTTGTTCTAAATGTGGATGGAAAAAAAAATCCACGCGACCACGGGGAGAGAGAGACACGCAAACTCCAAATACACAGCAGCAGGCGTCAGAGTCGGGATGGAACCCACGACCTCCTGCACACCAGGCGAGGTAGTTAACATCTCGCCATCCGCGGCACCCCAATCAGTGCGTGACGGGCTCGATCAGTGTGTTGGGTTTAAAGCGCGTGGTGGGGTAAAACGTGGGTAGTTCCATCTCTTCAAAGGCGTCAGGCGAGCATGGATTAGTAGGCCAGCCATACACCCTCCGGAGGGGCTACTCTCGAGCTGCCTCCAGGTGGAGGCCCATTCTGCCAGCAGTGGCGTGATCAAGACATTGCAGGGCTGCACCTTTATATTTCCTATTAACGCTAACAAGCGTTAATTTGCACGTGCGGAAATTCTTGTTAAAATAAAAAATTACGTCCTCGTATTTACCGCAGCATTTCCCCAACGCAAAATTTAAATTACATCACTCACCACGAGTCAACCTTTGAACTTCCCTCTAGGCAATAAACGAGCGTGCACGAATGTGGGTGTGACGCTTATCGGTGACTTATTGCATCGCCTGCAGTTTGTGCCGAACACCCAAACAATTACCTCTCACCATCACTCCCCGCCGTGTCTGTATATCACGTGGAAATTGAGGCCCTGATCGAATCTAGGGTTAAACCCTTGTGCACTGCACATGCATACGCGCGAAGACAAAGGTTCCCCGTATAGCCTTCACCAGACTGATGGGGCAAGTGCTGTTAGCGAGCACCTATGAAAGCCATCACACACGTCTGGCAACGTTTGTTCTCCCCCAGTACTGACATTTGCACACCGCACCAGGTAATAATTTAAGGCTGAGTCGACCTAACGGAGGTGCAGTATTGGTTCAGATGTTTGTCATTGGTGTTGGCTGTGAGCAGGCAACAACCCGGGTCGGAGAGTTCGTAGCACGGTGCGCTAACCACTGCACTACCTCTCCCCGTGAGTATGCACACACACACACGCACATGCATACGAAGAGGCACACACATGCATATGCATGTGCAGAGACACAGGCACGCAGAGACAACACACAAACACACGAAGAAAAACACACTTCGTACTGTGCATAGAGCCACAGGCACACACAGATATTGACAAAAACTAAGACACGAATACAAAGATCCCCAAGATAGGCTTTAACAGACTGTTGGTGCAAGCGCTGTCAGCAGGCACTCACAAAACACACGTGAACACGGACACACACCGACAGAAAGAACAATCCCCATTCGCCACCAACACCACAGTGCTTGTGCCAGGCTAGGGACACTTTGAGGCCACGTGAAATGTGGAAGCCTCGTTGATGCTAGGAAGCTCAAGGGAGAGACCCAGGTGTTATGGGTTAACTGAGCGAGATGACATGGCAAATGCACCACCTGTCCTCCCAACTGCGCCGACGAGCACATAACTGTGCCAACTGGCACAGTTAGCACACGCAGAGACACAGGCACACAAAGACAATGACACACACACACTTGAAAACACAGAAACCGTGATTTTAATCCTGTAAAGCATCCAGGGTGGTGCGGTTAACGAGCACCTAGTAGCGTGCACATCATCAAACTTATATACTTGCCCCTGCCATATGAATGGAGAATTTCCACCAAATGGTCCCGGGGGCAACAACCTGAATTAGCGCCACCCAATATCCTGACTTTGTCGATTTAATCGACAGAATGTCTGATCGTACACAAATCATCACACTAAATGTATTGTCACGACATTAATAGTCGTTCGGTAATACAATGCAGAAAGAAAAACACGCAATGTTTATTAAACTGCTCTTGTTACAGATGAAAGTATAAACAATGTGCGAATAATGATAATATTAATGCATTGTTACTGAATATACAACTGTGGTTCATGAACGGGTTCATTTCTTACGTTAATAATACGAATGAGTCCATTCACGAAGCGTCCTTCATCAAGGATCTCAGAGCGCTGAACAAGACAGGGCCAGTACAAGATCGCCGTATGGATGGCACAAAACTTATTCTCGACCACAGTCCCAGTTTGCAGACGTGGGAGCGCTACGTCTTGGCATGAGTTTCTGTGTAGATAATTTGTTGCCGTTTGTTCTCGTAAGGGGTCCTTACTCAGACCTTTTCAACAAATACTACTCAAGCGTTCTTACTTATCAGAAAAAACTCAACGATGGAAAAAAAATTACTTGTTATAAATGTAGATAATACATTACTCGGTGAGAAATACATGAGTAAAATACCGTGCTTCTCTAAATATAATGGGGTCAATGTCCCACCGTTATGATAGATTTAACAAAGGGATCGTATTTTCCCAGACCTGCTTACGTTCTCACGAACCCATTGCCAGGGATCTTGACCTACCGGGGCAATCTCACGAATTTGGACGAACCATTTAGAGACTGTAAACGTATGGCTAATCAATGGCATAATCACGAAGTGGTTTTTCACTGCGGCATAGTGTGTCAACCAAATAGGGCTGCAGTTCAGACAGAAAACAAAAATTGTCCACCTCTCTTGATTATGGAGAAATGCTCAGAAATGTCCCCCGGTGTCAGCCGCACAGGTTTCCCTCGCTGTACGCCTGTTTCTTTTGTGCATATGCTGAGGAAGACCAATTTCTGCCCAAAAATTCTCTTACATGCGGTTCGAATTCATTCGTACGTGGCTACGTGGTCGGACGCGCGACCATATTGTCTGTGCATGATGCGCGCTACTCGGCAGGCAGATTTCTCACGCGGTGCATTGTGGGTTGGGTGACTGGTGCGGTCCACGCCACGTGATTTTGCTTTGCGTGCCCCTTTATTTTTTGGGATGCATCTACCGCAGTAAGCGAGGTAAATCTGTACTCAATCTCAGGTTCTTGTACGTGTCAAACCGCCGCATTTATTCCATCAACTACAGGTGTGCGCCTGTGCGGCCCTTTTGCCAATCCACTGCTGGATGAGGGCCTCCTCCACACCGTGTGGGACATGTTTGTCATTTGGCAATACTTCACCATAATAGTTAATAACTTAGGACATTTGTAGCGTCTTGTTAAATGACTCGCACCGACACGTTGTAACAAGTCACCTGCTTACACTTTATGGCACCTGTTTTCACGCCAGTCGTAGGCACTCCTAAAACTATCTGTACAGTCACATACACTTGAATTCTCCCCGCTCATATATATTCTGTGGCCGCACTTATCCTGCACACAGCAGCTCCACACTCAGCAACTCTGCACTCAGCAGCTCCACATTCAGTGACTCTGCACACAGCAGCTCCACACTCAGCGACTCTGCACACAGCAGCTCCGCACTCAGCGATTCTGCAACTCCACCGCTGCCCTCACCTACGCCCCCTCATACCCGCTCACCCGTCTGTCCCGGGCGGGGGGTTCAGCCAACGCCCGCCCGGCGACGGCGTGAGGGTTGAGGTCCCGTTGACGGCTTGTCTTCACTCTTCGTTCCCGGGCAACTCACCCTCCGCTTTCGCACACTCCCCCTTATATATCCCTCCTCATTCCGAGTCCTCACCTGCTCCCCCTCAAGCTGCCGCCAGCCTGTTGCCCCATTAATCCATCATCATCATCACCACCCCCATCTCCCGTCTCTCCGACGCCAACCTCCGGTCACAGCGTACCCACCTGTTGGACCTCAGTTGCACCCGCTTAACAGCGCGCACCGCGTATATCTCTCCTCTACACATTTAACATTCGTGCCGCAAGGCTATCGCACTGCTCGCAAACTTAAACGCGGATGTACGATGTACACGTGCTTGCTGTACGCAAGAAGAATAAGTATCAAGAAGACGCAGCCTGTGGTAGTTTCAAAGCAGGCGGGGGGTGGGGGGGGGGGCAATTTTGCGACGTGAATTTACAACTGAGTCATTTGCAGGGGGGAAATGTTCTCCGATTTGGCAAATTTGCACCGTGACGCGGGAATACAACGGGCCGACTCGCTTCGAAGCGACATCACGGGATCTTTAGCGTCCACGGCCAGTGAACCTGCAGCAATAATCAGGGCGGCCTGCCGAATTCGAACCAAGAACCTCGATCTGCAACAAGCGGCAAACCCACTACCGCTGGGCCAAGTTTATTTATATTTTTATTTTAACCAGGCAAGGCCCACTGAGCTATGTAGTTCTTTTTCATATGCGGCGACCTGGCCACAAATGACAGCTCAACGAAGTGGCTTCTGTGGAAATGTATAGTAGTCAGATACTCTAAACGCGTGATGTCGATTCTAAATGGGGAGGGAAAAACCGGAGGACCCGGAGAAAACCCACACGACCACGGGGAGAACATGCAAAGTCCAAACATGCAGGTGTCACGGTCGGGGTCGAACCCACGACTTCCTGTATACCAGGTGAAGTAGTTCACATCTCGCCACCGTGGCACCCACCCTGCGCTGGTCAATGCGGGGTTGGTGATTGTGGGGAGCATAGGAGTAGAGTACAGCAGTGTACCACACTGCTCTCTGCTGCTCACCATGAAGCATACACTACGGCAACTGTTTGTGCATCGTGGTGGCGGTGGTGGTGGTCTCTCATCCAAGAACCTTCCAGGCTCAAAAGACCCTGCTTAGTTTCGGAGATCTGATGAGAGTGGGCACATTCCCAATGCATTGGTCCCTGCAAATATATGGAGCCATTACCTCCGATGTGCATTACGCTATTACTGGGTCGCAGAGGGCAAGTTTAATTTTTTTTACCAGGTATTTTCTTTTTACGTTACCAGGTAAGGCAAGTGCTGCAAAACACGACTGCGTACCGTACCTTTACACGTCCACATCCACGCTCTACGCATGCACCAAAAACGCACTGACCGGCGTGGTTGGGTATGGCCAAACAACCCTCTAGGACCGCAACCCCGACCACACTGCGTCGGGGAGACCCCTCAGCCTGCAGTGCAACTGACTGGCTAAGAGGGATGTGCGTGTTGGTGCACACACACACAAACAGCGCAATTATTCGGATGATTTGAAGTGAACAACCGTGACGTTGTGTGCTGTTCGGTGCAGCTGTCGGCACCTGTGATCATGCTGGACACGATGAGCGGCAGGATGATGAGCTTGAGCATCCGCATGAGCACATCACCCGGGAAGGAGAAGTACACGATATCCAAGCTGTTGAAGTTGGCGAACTCCCGCAGCAGCAGTCCCGTGCCGATGCCTGTGCCAACGCACAACACCTCGCTCATGTCGTCAAGGAACATAAACCCATCACGCAAACTCCGGGCACCCTCACAGCGCATTTTTGGCAAACTTATCGAACAAAGACGGTCACTGCATCGCGCGCTTTTGGATGCGCTTCTGCGGTTGCCTGGAAAGTTCTTCCTTCCGATATTGGGAGCTAAGGCGCTTTTTAAATCTCCCATTAGCACGGTTGGCTGCGTCCGGTGCGTACAACGCGGCGTTTCATTCAGCGCGGCGAACGTTTCAGAGGTGTGGCAGGGTGGCGCGGCGGTCTCAGCGCTGAACTATGAATCACGTGACCTAAGTTCGATTCCGGGGTGACGGCGGGCGATATCTGAGCCCGTCCCGGGACCCCCTCTCCCCTGGCCGCGCACGGAGATGGGAGCCGCACGCACAATGCTCATTTCAGCGCGAAGACAACCTTGGCTTGAGAACAAGGTGATAATCAATATAATGATTCAACTCATTATTTGCAGAGCCTTTGTCAAAAGAATGAACCAGGTGAGAACTGAAGAGGCCAGGATGAGTCTCATATGCAGCAGTGACCTGGGGCATTGGTCTGCCAGTAGGGGGACGATGATTGCTGTGTAATCCCATGTGAGTAAATTTCGAATTGGGGAAAGTTCGGCTGTATCAAGAGCAACTGTCCGGGAATGACCGTCATTCGTTGTTCTTGTATCCATTGTGTAACCAGGAAATGAAATAAACTCAGTGGGACTCATGGGAAAAAAACCCCACTGCCTCTTTCGCAGGGGGCACCTGGGTAACAGCTCAAATAATAAATCATCTCAAACCCCTTTATCAATCCACTGCTGGATAAAGGCCTCCCCAAGCCAACGTTGCCCATGGACGTCCGTTTGACCATACCACGGCATGGCGGTGGTCAGTGCAGGCCTAGGACTGGCCGGCCGAGGATTGGGTCATGATATCCCTCTCCACCGATGTTAGCCATGGGCGAGAATCATACTCGGACTGCAGGGTTCATGGCGCAGCGTGCAAACCACACTGCGCCACAGCTCATCCACACGAAATTGCCGTGCCACTGTTAAAATTTAAACTGCAGTTGCCGTCATGCATCCGAAGGTCAAGAATTCAACTCGTGGTTGAGGGGTCAAATCGGCATCATCATCCATCTTTAGCGTGGCAATGAGTGCTAATGTGTATGCCGTCGATGGGTGGCTGTCCCAGTGAGACACTGGTACTTGCTATAGTAATATGGAATTTTCACCAGTGGCTCAGGGTTGCCACCATGTTGAGTATGTATTCTTAGCTTTCTTGTGGTTTTTTAAATAAAAAAAAGTCTAAAATGTCTCCCGGGTGGTGCTAACCGAGTGGCAGGAAATTCCACATTCTTGTGACCGAGGTGAGTCTATGTGTATGATGACCATGGCTGACTCTGCTCAAAGTGGTACCTCTTTTACTGACCCTGCTGAAGGAGTGATGATGGATACGTTGACCCCTGGACCAGGATCTTCGATCACAACCTTCTGATTACAAGCCGAGCATTGCGACCGCATCACCTACGTTGCAACTTTAGTTTTTATTTCACTTTACAAATAAAGGCATTGTATAACCACGTGAGGAAATACACGTTCCAAAATTAACTGAGGCCTACAATTTATCATCCGTATTACTTTTTTTCTTTACTTCTAAAATTATATTTAATCTCAGGACTTGCGTGTAAATTCACCTTTGCGTATGAAATATAAAGCTGTAGCGATGCCATCTGAATGTACTCTGGCGGTTAAGTAAGGGAAATAGAGAGTGATTGACACTGCCAAGCAGGCTGCTTGTGCATGGTGTGATATGCGTTATGTATGCATGAGTAAATATAATGCATCGGTCTATAAAACACACTGGAAACCCATTACCCGTTTGTTGAGATGGGGTCATTAAAGGCCTGTGTTGGCCTACCAATGCCAATAGAAATCTGCGGAAGCGCCTACAAGTTACACTTCACGTTCTACGTAAATCTTAGCATATAACGATTTTTTTTCTAATGATTCTATGTTCTGTACAATTTCGTCGCTTTAAAAGCTTGAGATTTACACGTCAGTGGAAGTGCCTGTAATTTTTAATAGCGGTACCCCAAGTACACGGTCGTGTTTGACTGAACACCGATCAAGGCAATGTGAGAATTTGACTTGTTAGCCAAATAGTGCTTTTATTTTTCGATATTTTTTATTCGTTTCCCTCTGTCACTCTGCCTCCATCTACTGGACATCTGTGAAAAAGAGCTTTATAGCTCATCGGATTCCTCCAGTATAAATAAGTATTCTGATTATGTCTCCGTGTCACGTCAGAACCTATTTAGATCACAGCGCCAGTTTAGATGCCAAACAACCGCGTGAGGAAATCAGATAAAGGCTTTTTTATCCATTTAACCGCAATAATATTATCAATCACATGCCAGAAAATACACATTAATATCAATGGAATGTTGCCTTGCTTTTATAGACTAATGCAAAGGGAATTAAATTCAGTGGAAAATGACGCTGTCATCCAAGCTCTCACAAAGCAAGGCCTTCATATAAATGTAGCATATAGAAAAAAACCATCAGGGGATGGAACCTACACTGAGAATACACGAAAAACAAAATGCCAAGCCAATGAGGAGGAGCCAGGAAAGGAGACTGGCTCCCACCCACCGTGGTTATCCAAGGCAATGCCCACATTTTTCCAGACGCGAAAATGTACCTGCAAATTACTCAATCGGGATTATAAGATTGTAGCCATCAGCTTCCGACTGCGAATACTTGGCAGGGACTTCCTGAGAGAGGGCTTTTGAGACTCGCTGGAGGGTTTCAGAGGTAGACACGTTTAATATTGAATAATACTTCAATAATACTACAATAATGATACGGCAATCAATACTACAATAATACAATACTGTAAAAATACTACAATAATACAATAATGCTACAATAATACTAAAATAATAATACTACAATACGAGAAATCATTTGTGGGGTCTTGGATTGCAGAAATTAAGCCGTAAATGTAATTTGAGGGGTACTGAAACGCATCCCACGTGTTCTCACGAGACTGCCATTACGAACCAAAGTGAAAACCAACTAAACAGGAAGAACTTGCCAAAGGAAGCTACAATGTTGCAGTATAAATAAACATGAGCAAAGCAAATATCACTTCAAACAAGTAGGCAGAATGCATTTTTAGAAGAAAAAAATCATTAGAAACATTCTCTTTTGATGCTGCTACTGCTGCAGGGCTGTCAATGGTACACAAGCACAATTAACAACAACTCAACACATTCGTCAATAACAGTTATTGTGAGGTAGGCTTATTGATGAAGACGTTGAGCTTTGTCGTTGTTAATTATCGGTGGGACACAGATGGAAAAGGCGAAAGAGTTTGTATATCTGGAGGAATTCTTAAAGGTGAATCAGAATCAACTAATTAAAGGTTAAAGAAGCTTGGGGTGGTTTTTTTGGACGACGTGCATTTAGAGTATTTGGCTGATACAATTTTCCACGCAATAAGCCACTTAGTTTAGCTATTATCTGTGGCCAGGTCGCTTCTGAAAAAAATAAATATAGCTCAGTGAGCCTTACCTGGTAAAAATTAAAACACTAATATTTAAACATGAAAAGTAACATTGCCAATGTGCCAAAAGAGGAACGTGGCCATAGCAAGAATTGAAAAACGTGGACACTGACTAAGCAAAATCCAACGAAAAATTACTGCACAGAATCATGGTCCGATGCATGGAGGGGAGAGATAAAAGCGGCACTGATGGACAGAACAACGCATGGATTTGCGAACGTGCGCAAAGAGAGCTGACATCAGTAAGTAGGCTTGGGCAGGGCAATAAGCTGCGAGAAGGGATAACGGAAGATGGATGAGACTGATAATGGATTAGCAGCCACAGGGTGATGGCAAACCGGTGATGGAGGTGATGGGGCACAGCTCAAGTCCAGGGAGGGGTGAGATGGTTTAAAAGGACACCAGCAACATCCGAAGCGGCAACAGCACATTTGCTAGGCTAGGTGCAGTTTCATACAAAGACAAAGATCCCCCGTATAGCCTTAACAGACTGTAGGGGCAAGTGCTGTTAGCGAACACCTATGAAGGCCGGCACGGCATACGAGCGGGTGGGTGGCTAACCCCATGCTCGACCGCCTTTGTCTCCCAAGTGGCGACATTTTCATGCCGCACCAGGTATTCATTTAAGGCTAAGTCGACTTCGGGGAGGCCCATGACCGGCTCACTGTTATTGGTCGTGAGCGGGACCAAACTCGGGTCACCGGGTTAGCAGCGCAGTGTGCCAGCTACTGAGCCACCCCTCTCTAAACACACACACACATTCCTTCAGACACGTTCATGTGTATTTTATTGAGCCTAGCACACAGTGGTTGCGGGGATTACTTTTATAATCAAGGTTTCTTAGTACATCAATTGACCCTTGATATTTTAAAAGTTGCATAATCCGATCGATTATTTTTTGTTGCACGACATTTTTCTGTAAAGTACCATTAACACAAATTGCGTGGAGCATTATATGTCAACATCGAGGCTTTGTGCCCTCATTTATGGTACAACAGTACACGGATGTTTGTCCACTACTGCCCTGACATCAACCCAGGCTGCCGATGGAATCGCGCCAACATTGTAATGGACCTTTGGAATAATATTAATGTTTTATTTATGTATTACGCACGTAATCACAATACACGTACATTTAACTGTTACACGATTCAAATAAGATTTTTGGGTCAGGTCGCGTGTAAAAAAAAAATGCGTGTCGTAAATCCTCCACCACCCGGCACAGTCAGTTCATAAAGTTGTCACCGTGAACAAAAGGGGCTTCATCAGGCAGTTTTTCAACAACTCTGGCAATTTAATAATAAGGTTTTCCCCTTTATTCTGGCAACAAAACTGAAACCTTTTTACAAGGATTCATGTCTGCATTAATCACAATACCTGCAGTCAAAATGCAAACAAAAAAATACTATAATA